GGGCCCAGCACGTTCCGCTCTCAGATGTGCGGCAGTATGGATCCCTCTGCTCTAGGTTTTCTTTGTCTGGGATTCCGTTGTTGGTCTGTGGCTGTTGCTTTTGTTGTATCTTGTCGGGGGAAGAGTTCACGGGAAAGCTCACTCCGCCATGATGCTGACGTCACTCGCAGGCTATTTCCTTTTTTATGTGCTCTCCGTTTTCCCTCAGAATAAAGTCCCGAATCCTTGTTGGCCTCTTCGGACCTCTCACATTATGCCCAGCCTTCCACTTTTTTGATATCTGTGCTGTGTTCTGATCCCAGGGCAAGCATAGGAAATCATCAAGACTGTTTCTTTGCCTTCCAGGAAAAAAATTTTACCCTCCGCCCCCACAGTAGAGGTTCTATCCTACAGTAGAGTTCTAAGCTCAGATTAAAAGACTATCTAAAATAATTATTTTAACAGAAGCAGGTGGGAGGCTACACTTATTACTGGCAATATTGTTGTGAAAAAAGACACATGTGGATCTTGGTTAATGATGTTGATAATGCTGTTAATAAACTAGAGCATAAGTGTACCCAGTGCCTTTGACCTGGTCATTGCTTTTTTCTTGCAGGCGAAAGGGCCCGTGGTTCCGACTGAGGAAGATACTTCTCTGTATTTTGGGGTTGTACGTTGCCATTCCGTTTCTCATCAAACTATGTCCTGGGATACAGGCCAAACTGATTTTCTTGAATTTCGGTAAGTGCTATATGTCCATTTTTCCTTTAATTTTAGTAAGAGTTCATTTTCATAATGGTTTATATATTTCTATATCCTCACCCAAATCAAGAAATAGAACGTTTCTATTACCCAGAAAGTTCCCTTGTGCCGCTTCCCAGTTAAAGGCTGTTTGTAATGAGTGCATTGCTCTCCAGTGCTGGTATGTGTACACAGATGATGACTGCATGGCCGGGGGTTCTTTCTTTAGCTTAGGTGGGGAAAAATGTTGACAACGTGAAGAGTCTTCTGAAGCTGTTGTGTTGGAGATGCTTTGTCACTTGTGCAGTCTAGGATATTAACTGTCCTTAGAAAAGGTGACCACTTAAAAATAATAATAATTAGGCCTTTTTTCTTTAAAAAAGAAAAAAATCAGATTTGTTTTTCCTTAACAAAGCCTGACGTACTTTGGTTTCCATGGAATTATATGCTGGCCCTATAGGTGGTATAGACTCCTTGAGTTAACTTAGACCTTGTGTGTTCCAAGGGTGTTTTTTTCTTCATGCTATATATTTACTTTTGTGCAAGTGGGAGAAGAAAGGTGTAGAAGTATCAAGCTTATGGAATAGAAGGTAAAGGGGTCCCAGGTATGTGGTTGCTGGGAGTAACCTTTTTTTTTTTGTGAGGAAGGTCAGCTCTGAGCTAACATCCATGCCAATCTCTCCTCCCCCCCCCCTTTTCTCCCCAAAGCCCCAGTAGATAGTTGTATGTCATACTCACACACCCTTCTAGTTGCTGTATGTGGGATGCGGCCTCAACGTGGCCGGACAAGCGGTGTGTTGGTGCGCGCCCGGGATCCGAACCCGGGCCGCCAGTAGCAGAGTGCGCGCACTTAACTGCTAAGCCACGGGGCCGGCCCTGGGAGTAATCCTTTTAAGGAGCATCATTTTACACCTACAGATGAGGCCAGGAGGGAAGAGACTGCATCTGCAGGTGTGAGAGGTTTGAGGCTAGAACACAGCAGGTGTGTCATGAGTGATGGCCTTCAAATTCGATATGGATAGCATTCAAACCAGATGAGGCAGGCTCTGTGTGTGCTCTTTGGCTGTGTTGATTTGCAGAGTGTTTGAACCTTGTGTGTTTGGGACCTAGAGGCTTGGGAGGCTGGGGCTGATGCTGTGGAGGCAGCAAGGAAGCTGGTAGAGAGGAGTGAGGAGGAAGAGCGAAAGGACCTGGGAGAGGACAGAGGGCAGGAGGTGTTGAGATGATCCATGTGTGAGTGTGGCCTGGGGCAAGCGAGGCGAGGGATGGGTGGTGGGGGCAGGCATGTCACAGGGCTCCAAAACCCCTCATCTGTAATAACCCAAGTGCTCCAGGCTCTGCAGACACCTGGGCATACAAGTTTGGATGTTAAGTTTATAGTAGACTTAATCACAGAAACTTGTAAGTCACTGGCTAAAAGGGAATTTCTCCTCTAAAGAGGAACAGTAGGAGGAGGGACAGAAATAGTAAGGTCGATATTTAATACTTCGTAAATCTAAAATAAGTTTTTTATTTGATGTCTTAAAATAACAGTAAAATTCATGTAGTATACTAAGAGGCATTTGATTTTTCTGACAGAAAGGTAGCTGAACTTCTAGGAATTTATTATCTCTAAGTGTTTGCCACTTGTGAGAAGCACAAACTTAAAAGGAACTAACAATACACTAAAATCAAGGTAGTTTTGTTTTTCTGGCTTCAGTGTCCCTTAACTGTCCGTGGTTGGTCCAGCACAGAAGAGAGTTTGGGTGTACATGTAAACACAGAGCTACAGGGCTGCAGATTTCAAGATGGCAGACCTTAGAATGGAGGCTGCACAGCTTTTCCAACTGTGCAGGCCTCTGGTACCTGGGCAGCAGCAGGTATGTGTCGGTGCTGCTCTCAGGGTAGAGTCCCAGCAAGGATTTGAACTGAGTTCATTTTCTTCAGATCAATTATTTGGGCTACTTCAGACACAGCCCACACATTTTGCTCTGTTGGTTTCCTGATGAAATGGCAGGATGTTCCCCAGGAGCATCTTTGAACTTTGGACTCTCCTGGCCCAGCCCCTTGTGTGAGGAAAGAGGATGGCTAGGCTTGGGCAGTGGGGCTGCCCTGAGCCCGCCAGGGAGATGCTGGTCCCTAATGCCTTCCTTCCACATGTCTGCTGCGTGGGAGTTAGGGTCACCTACAGTGGGTTTTTAAACGAGATTTTTAGTCAGCTCTCTTTGCCCCTCCTCTGCAGAAGTGTGGGGGTCTCCAGCGCTGCCCTGCGGGGACTTGGCAGTTTCCCCTCCCACTGTTGGAGGCCTGCGTGTTGGGCTGGCCCCTCCATTCCTACCTTCTCAAGATGTGAAGCCTGTGGATTTCCATTTGGACATTAAAGGAAGTGTAATAATCTTTTGGGCCTCAAAATGTGATTAAAGAATATATTCTTAATCTCACAGCAAATCTGTCTGAAACCAAGTTTATAAATCAGATGAATAAGCTTTAGAAGAAGCATAGCACCTATGATGTAACACATTATTCTACTTTAAATATATTTTCATAAGCAAAAAATACACGATCATTCTAAAAACGAACGAAAGATGAACTGAAAAGCCCTGACTGGCAACGAAGAAGAAGATGAAAATCGCTCTGAAAAAGTTGTTAGCTGGGTCACTGTCCTGGGCTCCCCACGTCTGACCCTGCCACCTCCCCAGTGGGCTGCCAGCAGGCCGTGTGCTCTGTCCCTCCTCCAACCCTGTAGATAAAGCGGGGACCCAGAGGTTAGGCTCCAGCCAGCATCCCAGAGTCATAGGCTAAGGGGATGTGATCACACGGGCGGTCAGAGGGCCCAGTTGCCCACCTGTTACCGACCAGCAGGAATAAGGTTATGTTCTGGCCCAGGCAGATCCTGCAACCCTCCTCAGGCCAGCCTGGGTCTCCTGCACCCCTTGACCCAGTTCCTTTGCTTTGTGGCATTTCTGCTAACTTAGCACCAATTGGTGGTTCCTCTGGCCACCACTCTCTGGGGCTGTCTGACACCCAAGGCTGGTGACCCAGGGGCCTTCTACTAGCTGGAGGGACTGCTGTGGGAGGGGAGGCCCCCAGGGGGTATCAACTGGCCTTGGCACATTCACTGCCTCCTGTTTCGTGGTTGTTTCTAAAACAGAAATAACAGTGAACTAGAAGATAAGCTTTGTGGAGTAAGGCTATCCTAGAGTAGAATCTGGCTTCTCAGTTCCTAGATTTCTCGGGCTTGAAAGCTTTCCAGAATAGCTGCTAATCCTTGTAAAACACTTTTTACGGATAGGGAGTCCTCAGAGCTCTGGGGTAGTGTAAGTAGCTTGGCCGCCTTCTCACCAGATACAAAACCGGCAAGACCTGAAAGCAGAGCCAGCGAAAGCCAAGCGCCCTCAGTGCTTGAGGATGCCCGCATTCTGTTTGGCATGGGGAGTGGGGGTGGGTAATTCCAGCCTCAGGAGCTGGATTGATTATGTGGGTCTGGGTGTGGGCACTGGGTTTGGATACTGAGAGTTTTCTTGAGGAAGTCATTTCCCCTCACAGTTGATGAACTGGCACATCAAGCTGCAGCCTTCAGCTTCCACAGAGTGGAACAAAGTCACAGAATGGAGATCGCAGGAGTGGGCGCCTGCGTCTGAAACAGCGTAAGAAACAGAGGCCGTTCCAGGCCTTGTCTCCAGTCAGGATCTTTCTCTGAGTCCTGTTGCTGCAGTAAAATCTAAACTCCATAAGCGTGGCTGCATCTGTTCCCCGGGGGCAGCCGTATAAATACCACAAACGGGTGGCTTACAACAACAGAAAGTTATTCTCTCACAGTTGCAGAGGCTGCGAGTCTGAAGTCAAGGTGTCAGCAGGGCCATGCTCCCTCTGAGACTCTGGGTAGGTCCTCCTGTCGCTCCTCCCAGCCTCTGTGGTGGCTGGCAGTCCCTGGTGTTTCTTGGCTTGTAGCTGTGCCACTCCAGTCTCTGCCTCCACTGTCACAGGGCTGCCTTCTCCCTGTGTTTTTACACTGTCTTCTGTCCTTGTCTTGTCTCTGTGTCCCAATTTTCCCTTTTGATAAGGACACCAGTTATATTGGATCAGGGTCTACTTAATGACCTCAAGTGAGCTTGATTACCTCTGTAAAGACCCTATTTCCAAATAAGATCACATTCTGATGTGCTAGGGTTAAGACTTCAATGTATCTTTTTTGAGGGGACACCAGTCGACCCATAGCAAGGGCATTTAGGGCCAGTCAGGATCAGAGCCAGTTTACTGTTCTCACTTCCTGTCCGATGAGTCAGGAGCATGGGCTATGGAGTCAGGCTGCCTGGGTGCCAACCCCAGTTCTGTCAGGTATGAGCTGGGGACTTCACAAGAGGTGCGACAAGGCAGGAGTACCAGCCTGTTTCAGGGGTGGTGTGCAAATTATAAGAGGCGCTGCAGGAAGGGCATGCACCACATGGAGTCAGCCCGGTGGGAATACCAGGAGCTACGGTAGGTGAGGGTCCTACCACTGAACCCCTGATGCAGCACCAGAAAATATGCCACCCCATTTGATTGACATTTTTCTTTTGAGAGAAAATAAAAAAGTTTTAAAAATTTAACCTGCTTCTTGGGGAAGAGAGGGAGTAAGAAACTGACAGTAACAGCCCTGGTGGGAGAATTTGTGTCCCTGCGTGGTCTGAAATGCCCAGGGAATTTCTGGGGAAGGAGCACGTGTGTATCCCCATGTCCTCATGAGTTGGGTATTTCATTTCTTTAGCAAATGTGTACTGAGCCGCCGTGCCATTTGAAGAAGTGAGAGCTAGATGTGCAGGTATGTGGGGGGAGACCATTCAGGTGGAGGGGACAGCAAGTGCAAATGCCCTGAGGTGGCAGATTGATGGCTGTGGCACAGGATGGGGCAGTAGTGGGAGATGAGCACATTTGACTTTTGCGCTGCATGGATGTGTGAGGTTATTTAATGAAACTAGTCTCTTCACCGAAGAAAACTGTAAAGAGATGTGTGACTTCCTTGTAGAAGGTGGGATTGGCTAGAAGTCAGGACCACACTGCCTCTTGTCTCTACCCCTTTTGGAAGTTGCCCAACTTGCAAGTGAGTAAACGCACCTCATGGTTTTGGATTTTTTTTTTTTTTTAAGTTTTTCAGTTTTCAGCTAAATGTATTTTCAAAAATTGTTTTCACCACAAGCAATAAAAGTACAATGGTGTATAAGGGAAAAATTAAGCATCACCCCCCACACACACACACACACGCACTTTGAACTCTTGTTAACAGCCCAGTGAGTCTTTCTGTATTTCTTTCCAAGCCACACTTGGGTGGTGGTGTTGATGTCGATGTTGTTTCCTTATTTTTACAATAACAATATGGGATTGTGCGGCACACACGGTGATCTTCCTGCTCCTTCCTGGTTCTTCTCACCTACCTGTCACTCACGGACATTCCTCCAGGTCAGTGGATCTCCATCGTCTCTGTCTCCTGCCCTGGCAGTTTCCATGGGTGCATCATGGACTTCTGCCCTGGTGGCAGATTGTTCAATTTAGGGCTCCCACCGCACCATTCCCCTTGACTGCACTCAGCTCTGAACCAGTTCTGTGGATTTGTTGGCCTCCCTGCACCCACACCTTCTCTTCTGCCGTCTTATCTACGTTAAGTGACAGCACTAGAAACTTCAGAATGCCATTTAACTGGCTCACATCCACATTCACTTGGTCGAGTCCTGTGGCCCCAGCTCCAGAACACACTGTGACTGGGACAGTCCTGGGACTGTCCCTGGACACCACCTGGCTCCAGCCTTCAGTTGTAGCTCACCTGAGCTGCTTCCGCAGGCCTCACTGGGCTTCTTGTCTCTAACCTCTCTCGTGGCCAGGTGGTCCCTCAGGCCTCTCAAGGATCTTTCCTTCCTTCATTTGCGTCTTTTCACACCTTGAACAACCTTCAGTGGGTCTGTCTCTACTCAGACCTGGCCCTCGCTGGAGGATGTGTAGATGCACTCTCAGTGTTGCGGTGCAGGCTCGCCTACACCCCCGCCTGAGGCTGGAGAGCCCAGTGCGCCTGGCAGTATTGCTTTGGAAAAGACTGGCACTTTCTAAGAGCTTTGCCTCTGCTGTGTGCATGTACACGTGTGTGCGTGTGTGTGTGTGCATCCATCCCCACTAATCCTGGTTTCCATCTCTTTGTCCCCCACAGTGAGGGTTCCCTATTTCATTGACTTGAAAAAACCACAGGATCAAGGTTTGAATCACACCTGTAATTACTACCTCCAGCCAGAGGAAGACGTGACCATTGGAGTCTGGTGAGTGTCCGGCCATGTGGCTGCAGGGCCGAGGTGCCTGCTCTCCAGCCTCTCTGGGAGGCAGGAGGGGCCCTGTGTGGCGTGGCTGGTGTTGTCCTTGACAGTGGTCTCTGAAACTGTTCCCTGTCCCTTTTACTCTCGTCCACTCCATTTTCAAAGCAAAGATCTCAGCTAAATGTGATCCTAATGGAGCACGAAGAGGTGGCCCTAAACTCTCTTCTGAGGTTTTCCAACAGCAAAGGCTTTGTGAACCAGAGTGTTTTTTGTAGAGAGCCTTATTTCCAGTGAGGGGAAAAGCTAGAAACAAAGAGAACATAAGCACAGACTCATGAGTGCAGGTTGGAGACATACTTTTTCTTTTCAGAGAAGGGAATGTCTAGATACTGAAAACAGCTTGATTTCTTTTCACCTGCAGCACTTTGGGCCGTTGATAATGGTGATGTTTGCTATCTTCTTAGTATTTACTTTTTTTAGCCATAAATTTATAATTTTTATTTATTTATTTTTTTTGCCCCAAAGCCCCAGTAGATAGTTGTATGTCATAGCTGCACATCCTTCTAGTTGCTGTATGTGGGATGCGGCCTCAGCATGGCCAGAGAAGTGGTGCGTCGGTGCGCGCCCGGGATCCGAACCCGGCCGCCAGCAGCAGAGCGCGTGCACTTAACCGCTAAGCCACGGGGCCGGCCCTAGCCATAAATTTAAATTGGACTTAAGCTCTGTGACTTCTTCGTGTCTCCTTGGAATAAATTTTAATGTTTTTTCCTATGGACAAGTGGGTGTTTCCAAACAACTAAGTTAAAATTGACTTCCCTCCCTGTGGCGTTTTCTTTTTCTCTCAGAAGCAGCTCTGAGTCACTGCCCCTTTATCTAGCTGGGTCTTTTTTAGTGCCATAAAGTCTCTCCGCTGTCCTAGAAAACCACCATGCGTGTGAGATGCTTCTCAGTGTGGACTCCGAGGAAGTTCAGGAAGATCGGCATTTCTGATAATGGTCTGGGTAAAGAATATAAAGTGAGAAGGGGAGTTTTGTTCTTAGGAGTTGATGCTGGGACCAGATTCTGTTGTCATTTTTGGTTTGATTTAATCAAGCATTGACTGACCCAGTGTGTGTGCGTGGGACACTTTGCTTTTCTGTCTTCAGTCAGAAGCTTGACGTGGTTTGCTCAGACCTGTTTGGTGGAAATTGGTTGGCCTTCCTGCTGGTTCATAGAGGTCTGTGCTTTGAAGACATGGGGGTTAGTCAGGACTTCTTCAGGTAGAGCGGTTGTACTGCAGGAGGGGTGTTTGTGGTGCTGATCCTTAGGCTGAAAGCTGTCACAGCAGTGCCCCAAGAACGTTGTATTTAGTGACCACCATGGCAGGTCTCAAGGTAGTGACAGCCAGACTAGTGCTTGTGGGCGCCTGCTGCCTGCCCACGTCTATGCTCTGTGCTGTCGTGAGAATGGTGTGGGCCCTTGGGCGACAGCAGGCACCATGCACCAACTGTTCTCACCTGGCACCTTGTCAGATCCTCCCACCAGCAAAGGCACAGAGGAAAGCTGAGGGGTGTGCTAGGCCGTCAGCTCGTTCTCAGCTGCCTGTCTGTGGGCATAAGGTCTCCACCTGGCAGGAATAGGGTCCCTCCCCTCTGGCCAGGAGCTACCTGGACCTTTGTCAGGAGCCCCAAGTTTGGGGTAGGCTGGCTACTGGAAGCCCATCAGCTTCTAGCACCTTTAAAGTGTACCTTTCCATCCCATAGATTTAATTATAGGAGAGTGATAATGACAGTGGTCAGAACCACCCAAAATGTGATCCTCTGGAGCAGGTCAAAGAGAAATATTAGAAAGAGATGCTGAAACTTAAGAGCTAGAAAATAAGAAATTGGCCCTTTAATATTTTCAAGCATTCTTGCCAATGAATTTGAATATGTTTTACAGAAAAACCTTATTAATTCAGACCCCTCCCAGTGATTAACAGTATTTGATGTGGCCTGAGTTAAGAGTAACCAGAACATCTGTCTGAAGGAGGGTTTGGCCAGATAGACCAAGTCTCTACGTGCCTGGTAGGAGGTGGAATGGGCTGAGGCTACTGGGAGCCCATCCACATGGCACGTCCTGTGCGACGTCTCCTGCAGAGATGGGTCTGCTCCAGGATGGCTTATGAGCAGGCTCTGGAATGTGCCGTGCATTGGAAATGGTGCCTTACGGGCTTCTAATCCAGCTCCTAAAGATCAGTGTTGTTGAATTAGCAGGTATGACAGCATGATACTATCTGAGGTATATTATGAGTTAAACTGTGTTCAGCTTAAAAATGTGGATACGTATGAGGGGAGATGATGTTACTCAGCTGGTATTTATTAAGTGCTCATTCTGTGCTAGGCTCAGTTGAAGGCCTGGTGACTGATCCAGATGGGATCTTACCTCACAGAGCTTCCAGTGCATATGGGAGAAACGGCCATCCCCGACCCCTGGTAACTGCTACCAGGGGGAGCCTCTGTGGCAGAGGCCTGTTTGTAAGTCAGAAGATCTCTTTAAACTGTCAGAAGCCGTCCCGGCAGCTTGGAGTTTGGTAGTTGTTTGTTTAGGTGATGGGGACAGTTTGCCTCCCCAGCCCACTCACCCTCCTGCTCTCAGCTTAGTTGTAACCAGATCTCCACAGTCGTTGCGTCCACAGTCGCCATCATCTGATTGCGCTGCTCCCCTCTGCTTCTGTCTCCAGGCACACTGTCCCCGCCGTCTGGTGGAAGAACGCCCAAGGGAAGGACCAGATGTGGTACGAGGATGCCTTGGCTTCCAGCCAGCCTATCATCCTGTACCTGCACGGGAATGCGGGCACCAGGTGAGGAGGAGGAGCCCACGTAGCACATCCTTCCTGCAGTGCCAGTGCCCTAAAGCCCAGTTGGGTTTACTGACCCACCGCAGTGAGGGAGCAGGCACGTGGTGGGACCGTGGGGCTTCCTGAGAACAGAGGAAAAGGCAGAGTTCCTGTGGGGTTTGGGGAAACTGACATGAAGCAGCGTTCCCACAGGCTCAAAGCAAAGCAGGGCTGTGTGCAAGTGGACTGGGCCCTATTTCCTTCGGAACCACCGCGTTAAGCAGATGTGGGAAGCTGCACCTGGGGTGGAATGGAGGAGGCTGCGTCTCTGTCAGAGTGACCCAGATCCTTCTTCCTGCCCTAATTTAAAGGGCAAAGTGCCTGAGGGCCTGTGATTTATGGAACAAGGTTTCTCAGTGAGTGAGGAAGCAGTGGTCCCTCAAGGAAGGGTTGTGATACTTCAGGGCCACAGCGTGCCCTGGGGAAAGCTGTCCCCTGTTCACAAACAGTGTCTGTCATCTCAGTCTGGAGATCACAGGCAGGGTAGCACTTTCTCACTGGCAGGTGTGCCCTGCTGGAGGAGGAGGCACACTTCCTGTAAAGGGGCAGTGAGTGCTGAGAAGGGGCAGGGATGACATCAAAGGAGGGTTGGCCAAAGGCAGAGGAAGGCCAGCAAAGAGACCCCAGCTGAACACTCATGGACAAGCTTGTCCTCGCAGGCCACCCCACCGTGCTGTCAGGGCAGGGTGACTTGCATGAGTTTTCTGCTTCCAGCAGTAAGCCAGCAATGCCAGTGCATGCTCCTGGGCCGTCGATGAAGTACATACTGTCTGTGGCAGCTAAAGCCCTTGCCCAGGTTTATCCCAGGTGCTTTTCAAGAATGAGTTTAATGGCATGTCCTTCAGACTAGCTGGGATTGGAGCTACTATCCTTGGTTTAAAGACGGCTCCTTCCACCCCACGGGGTCGGCCTTGTTCAGAAGAGTCTCTGTGGGAGAGCTGGCGTGTGTGAGGGGAGGAGGTGCATTTTCTGAACAAAGCATTACCTGAAAACCCTGGGAGGGTCACTGTTTCCCCAGCTTCCTTAAGGCACATGAGAGAGAGGTGGCAAGGAGCTGACAGGAGGAAGGGCCACCGCAGGACCAGGGTGGGGGTCAGCGTGGTGCTTTCGCCATGGTGGCAGGCTGGGAAGCGGTCATTTCATAGGCAGAACCAGCAAGGAGAACAATGCATGAGCCTTTGTGGGGGGGAAGCAGGCCACAGTGGGTGTCTGGGCAGCGGGACTGCACGGGGGATGTTGCAGAAAGTCCGGGAAGCATGGCCCCTGAGGATGGTTTCTGAGCAGTGAGAACAGAGCGCTTAGCTGCTGAATCACGTATGCATTTGGCAGTTTGCTTTCTTCTTTGTCTGAGACAAGCTACAGTGGATTTCTCTTCTGCTTTTCAAAGAGCAAGTGGCTACAAACAGCTGTTGTAACATCTTTCTATAAATGAGAAAGGTTTGCAGTTTATGTGAATTAAGGTTCAGTTCAGCAATGCCAATCACATGGAAAAAGAGACCAAATCTGCCCATCACTTCAGATTTGAAGGAATATTGTGACTGAAAGGTTTCCTGCTCCTTCCCACTCCCCACAAAGACTTTCTCTGTTGCAGAGCTCACAGTCCCCTCAGCCCCTGCTCTCTGACAGACTCCCTGGGAGCCAGGCCCTCGGCTGCTGCTGCATACTATATTACATTCTAAATCCCTCTTCCTTTTGCTGAAGATAGAGAATTTGGAAAATTTAAAACAGAGCCACTAGGAACTCTTCCAAAGATAATTGAAAACACTTTGCAGTATTTCCCTCTGGTCTTGAAACTCATTCCTTTCTACTTCTGTTTCTGCATTATATTGGTTTTCTTCCTTCATCTTGTTCTTATCTCCCTCAAGGACACTCCCTCCCCCAACACACACCTGAAATGCCCAAAATGCTTATTATAAAAAAAGAAAGTTGGGTCTGGCCCAGTGGCGTAGTGGTTAAGTTCGTGCATTCCAGTTCAGCAGGTTGGAATTTCACAGGTTCAGATCCCAAGCACGGACCAACGCACCGCTTGTCAAGCCATGCTGTGGCGGCATCCTGCATATAAAGTAGAGGAAGATGGGCATGAATGTTAGCCCAGAGCCAATCTTCCTCACAAAAAAAAAAGAAAGAAAGAAAGCTACTGAGAAGTCTGGAGAGGGTGAGCCCACCGCTGACGTGCTTTCCTCTCCCAACGCAACCCAGTCCCCACTTTGGTGCCACAGTAACAATAACAGTAACAGTAACAATAACAGCCAACCAACAGCTGGACAGAGAGTGGGAGAGGGTAGGCAGTCCCCGGACACAGAGGTCCAGACATGTGAAAGCCTGGTCAGCCTTGGCCATCAGCAGTGCCCACTGAAACACTGGTCTGTGGGCAAGGGGCTGGGAGATAGCCGTGCTCACACGCTCCTAGTGAGAGGCAAGGGCCCGTAGTGGTCAGGATTACTATTGCACACACATGTGACCCAGCAGTACCCTACACGTGGGGCACCCATATGTGAAAGGACGTTGTATAGGGTGGCCACGGCCACAAAACTTCAGTTACAGCAGTTGGGAAAGAGCCAGAATGGCCACGAGATGAGGAAGGTGAACCAGCACTAAGAAGAGTGTACCGAGACTTGGCTGTGATTTAGTGAGTGAAAAGTGAGAGGCCAAGGGTGCGTGGGCCCGCCCCTGTGGGTGGGTGTGTGTTCGCGAGTGGAAAAGCGCCTTCCCTTCTGTCTACACAGCTGATCCCTGGACTCTGGGACGGGATGCTGAGGGAGAGGGCTGGATGCTGGAGCAGGAGAGGGTGGGGGCTTGCTGTGTATCCTTCTGTATCTTCTGGATTTTGTATTGTACGTATACATTACCTAGTCAAAAATGAAAGGAAGGAAATAATGAAGAAATATCCCCAAAGTGCTAAGCCTGTCCCTTGCTTGGCATGGTACTGCCAGAGGCAGGCTTGGAGCCACATAGGGTGCCCTGAGGAGGAGGTCATCTGTCGCCATCGACCTTCTCTATATGGATTTGGTGGGACCAAGCCACTAAGGGCCGAGATGCTCCATTCTTGACCCTGGAGCCTCCTCTTTGAGAAGATGCACTAACACCCATTCTTGTTTCTTTCTCCCTGATGCTCCAGAGGCGGCGACCACCGGGTGGAGCTCTACAAGGTAGGTGAGGAAGGCCCATGGTGTGTGAGGGGCGGAGTGGCATCCACGAGGTGTGAGGACAGGCAGAGCGGTGTGCACAGGGTGTATGATGGACAGAGCAGTACCTGTGTGTTGTGTCCTGGCTGTTTCCAGGAGGCATGAACCAGAAGGGAGTCCTAATAATTTTCAGAATTAATCACCTTTGGTCTTTCCAACACTGCCATTTGTGAAAGTCTCTACCGTGGAATGCTTCCCATAATGCTGCTTCCAGGGATAGTATCCAGAGTCAGAGTGATTGGACTTTGTGGATCATATGCCAGATATTGGCATATCACATAAAAGGCATTTGGAGTTGTTTGTATTGTTGTGTTATATGTAAAAGGAGTGGAGAGGACTGTGGGCTCAGGGCCACACTTCACTGCTGAGCGCGGGCTCCGGAGCTCTGCCAGCACAGAAGCTTCTCGCCTCCACAGGGATGTGGTTGCATTGGAATCAGAGTTAGGTGACTTAGTGGAAGCTCTCGCAGGCCTCCACAGGTAAAGGGGGGCTACAAGCAGGCATGCAGACCTTCACTTTTGCTTGGTTATTATCTTTATTAGGTATTTGGGCCTTGGAGCCTGAAATGTGCTGTTACTGCCAGTGTCCTGGGGCCACCAAGCCTGCCCCTCATCCTCCTCTCAGACGGACGTCTGTGTTTGTAACAGAGCAGAAAGGGACATAAGCAAATGTGTGGGACATCTGTGCGGTGGGGACACTGCTCTGTCCGTCATTTACCCGGCGGACTGCTCTGGGCTCTTGGGAGGTTTGTTCCCTTGAGTGGGTGGGATGGAGTCAGTGAAGGGGAAAGTTTGGAAAGTTGTTGTCTGCTTTTGAGGTTTCTGATCATGGAAGTGGTTTGCGCCTGGAGCAGGTGTGGCTCTGGAGGGCCTCAGCGTGTCCTGTAGCAACGGTGACATCTGGGTTTTATAAGATCCAATGGGAATGGGGCGTGCAGGGCACGAAGACAGAAATCCAGATGGGTTTAGTAAGAGGCAAGTTGCCCTTGATCCAAGATGCATGGATTTGTTGCCCAGATGTTTATTTTTCACTTTACAGGTGCTGAGTTCCCTTGGTTACCACGTGGTCACCTTTGACTACAGAGGTGAGCATTCTTTTGAAAGTGCAGCTCCGGGCCCTCACTTCCTCGTCAGTGTCTGACGTGCAGGCTTCACTCTGACAGGCTCAGGCGTGGCAACTGCGAGTGTGTTAAGGTGGTGGAAGGGGATGGGGTCTTCTGATGCATGTCCTGTGTGCAGATGCCAGGGCGTCCCTCCTGTAGGAGAGGCACTGGCGCCTGGAACCCCAGCACATGCCTTCTGTCAGCAATATTTTACATGTAGAAAATACTTTTTTCTTTTTTGGACTCCGACTTTATCTGTAGCTGGACATCAGACATGTTTTGTGCTCAGGAGAGCTTGGCTTGTTGAAGTTAAGAAAATCGGAAAAAGAACTGTTAAGAGAGAAGGTAGATTCTTCTTTTTGCCCTTTGGCGTTTGTTCTTGCTTGAATAAATCAGAGGGCTTGCCACTGAAGAGATCAAGAACTCATAGTTTGATGTAAGCTGAGAACATTCTCCCTTAATGAGCCAGGACAATGCTTTGTATTAACAGTGAGCAACTCTATGAGAAGCGTGTGCCTCTGTACGGTTCTCAGTTGAAGATCAAAGGGCTGACGGCCCCGTGGTGGGCTTTCCCTGACCTTCTAGGAGAGGGCAGTGGTGTCAATGTCCTCAGACTGGGGGTCTGGGTGTTGTGTTAGTTTCCTCGTGCTACTGTAACAAATCACCGCAAGCTTAATGTCTTAAAACAACACAAACTTATTATCTCTCTGTTCTGGAGGTCAGATGTCCAAAATTTTTACCCACTGGGCTAAAATCAAGGTGTTGGCAGGGCTGGTTCCTTCAGGAAGTTCTATGGGAGAATCCAGTTCCTTGCCTTTTCCAGCTTCTCACGGCTGCTCTCATTCCTCGGCTGTGGCCCCTTAAGTCTGCATCACTCTGATCCTGACTTCTGTCTTTCTCTGTCACTTATAAAGACTTTGTGATTACTCTGGGCTCAAGCTGATAAACCAGGATACTCTCCCCTCTCAAGGTCAGCTGATTAGCAGCCTCAATTCCCCCTCCAGGTAACTTAACATATTCACAGGTTCTAGGGATGAGGATGTGGACCTCTTTGGGGGCCATTCTGTGTACCACAGGGATGGTTCTTTCATGGAAGAATGTTCCATCAGGATGAAAGTTCTGTGTTGGGAAAAATTCTGAAATGAAGATCTGGAATTAGTTCACCTGCTCATCCTCTTCTCCCTGCTAAAAAGGATTTTCTGTTCCTGCTGTGCACTGGAGACCTCAGGATAATGAGAAGGGGCAGCCTTCATCCTTGTTCACCTCCCTGTGCTGCTACCAAGAAATGAAATCCCATGTAGCACTTCCTCTTTTCAGTGCTTATCGAGTCTGCATTTTTAAGCCATACAAGAGACGAAAGCCCCACCTCTGACTGTCTCTGTGTCTGTCTCTCCGTCTCTCCCTGTCCTTGTGTTCCTGCCTCCCGCCCATGCCCTGGCCTTGTCTCTCCAGTGACTCTTTCCCTAATCTGGTGTCTGGGATGCCCTGGGGAATGGCTTGTTGTGCCCACTAACTTGTGGATTTTGCTTATGCAGCAGAACCTGCTCTTTCTGAACCTCGTGATGCTTTCAGATCATTTGATGATGACTCACTGCTGAGTTGCTGGAAATGACAATAGCACTTGACCTTTCCTGGAGACTGGGGGGAGGGGCCCCTGGGGGATGCTCCTGTCCTTCTGCAGGGGCCCCTGGGCAGGCTGGGTTCTCACTGGCCCCTCATCTTGGGCCAGCCACCAGTGAGTCCGAAGTGTTGGGGAGATTGATAACCCATCAGTGCTGACAGGGGTCTGTGTGTCTGACTGCCCCATCTACACAGCTGCTCATCGGGACTCGGACAGCCATTTGGTTCAGGGGTTGTAACTGGGTGAGGAGGTAGGAGAAGTAGGAGCGGGCTTGTCGGGCATGCATGTAGAGCTGTGGAGGGTGATGGCAGAGACTTCCATTGCCCCAGACCAGCCTGGGCCTGCCTGCCGAGAAAGAGGAGGGGGTGATCCTGCCCCTCACGATGTTCCATGAACTGAGTTTGACTTCCTCCTCTTGCTGCTCTGTCTCCCAGGTTGGGGCGACTCAGTAGGAACGCCATCGGAGCGGGGCATGACCTATGACGCACTCCATGTTTTTGACTGGATCAAAGCAAGAAGTGGAGACAATCCTGTATATATTTGGGGCCATTCCCTAGGCACTGGGTAAGAGTTCCCAGGATGATGTGGCCTTTGGGGAAACAGGTCTTCACACGGTGACTTTCCAGCCCAGGCTCCCGAAGGGTGCCCTGGTGGCCTCTGAATCCCATGGCACCATTAGTCCCAACAAGCTTTTTCCCTTGACCCCATGGCCGGCACAAGGGATGAAGCGCCAGGAGAGACCACAAAGGGTTTGAGCGACTTGAACTCCTCAACCCAAGAAGTGACTTGGGACACATGTGGGTAGTCATGGGGGCAACCGTCTCCATCCACAAGGAGGGCAGACTGGCTTCAGCCCCAGACTATGCCTCAGGGAGATGTCCAGAGCAGGACGGATGGGGCTCACATCCCAGGTGCACTCAGCCTTCAAGGCCCCGGCTGTGAACCGCGTGTGGCCTGCGGCCTGCGTGCCTGGCTTTGGTTACGTGCAAACGAGGGAGGTCTGTGAACCCCTTCGCCACTTGGCCCTTACGTGGCTCACCGGAGAACTTGGAGGAGGAGCAGTGGGGGGTTCCCTTCTACATCTGCCAAGACAGGAAGCACTTGAATGTTCTGCTTGGGGCTGCTTACATTCCGTCTATCAATGTGAGGTCCAGAGTGTTCCTACAAGGTACCGCTGCTGTTAATGCCAGGAGCCCCCAGACATTCGGCAACCATCCCTGTTTCTGCTACCTTTCCTTCTGGTGCAGTGGCTGCGGCCCCTTTCTCAACTTGCTGCTCACCTTGGACAGCATGCTGAGTTTGGGCGGGGGCTTGCAGGCTGGGGAGTGTCTGGAACAAGGCTTTCCAGCCTGCCTTTGCCCTCATGGGGAGAGTTAACTGTGTGCCCACAGAGAGGTGCCCTGGTGGAGGGGTGCAGGCCGTCCTGTCGTGGCAGTCTGCACCAGGACCCCTCGGTATGGTCCTGGGATGGCAAGAAGCCCCTGGGCCTGACGGAGTCCAAATGCTTCCACTTCCAGGAACTGTGCAAGCAGACTGCAGCCTTCTCTCAGCTGACGGGGCAGGGCCCCCGTCTGTCTCAGTAGCACCCACACTGACTGGGTGTGAGCTGAGGGGTGGCGCTGCATAGTTGTTCCGGGTGAGGTGGCAGGGCACACCTTGGGGACGCAGAGGGTCCTTGTTGGAGGGGTTAGCTGATGACTGGGGCAGTGGCTCCACCTGTGGTCCTGAGGCATCTTTGTCCCCCCAGTCCTCCTGCCTACAACCCCAGCAGTCACTTCGCAGATCCCACAGCTTCTCAGGTCACTTTCCAACATTAGAACAGTGTTATCTAAAATAATTTTCATTATAATTCAACTGAACAGTTTGTTTCTTCTCAGAGTGGCTACAAATCTGGTACGGCGCCTCTGTGAGCGAGGTAGGGGGCTCGTGTGGGTCGTGGGTCCTTGGGTGTGTGCAGGGGCTCCTCCTGGTCCCAGGATGCCCACGGGGCAGGCAGAGTGTTTGGGCACTCACTGCCTCACAGGCCCTGCTGCGAGTTCCTGGGAAGTGGGTGCTGACGGGTGAGCCGCATGGTGACAGTGCTTGGTGTACGCGCAGAGCCTGTGAGGAGGGCATTGTGGCTGTGGCCTGGGAGACCCTCGGCTGGCCCCAGCCTGCTTTCCCTGTGGGTTCTCAAGCAGCTGGCAGAGCGCCGCCAGGGGCCGTCCTCCTGATAAGCAGCTTCAGCAGATGGTTCTCGGGAGCAACCCAAGGCCACCAGAGGGTCCCCTGCGTGTGGGCTTCCTGCCCACCAGCCTGTGGGAGGGCCTGAGGGGCAGGGCCAGCCAGGCGGGCACCCCAGGGTGCACTGTCCTGTCTGGGAGCAGCCGCCTCCCACGGACCCTCCCCTGGGCCATGGAGTGTGGGTTTTGTTGGGGCTTCTGGCCCACATCACATTTCCCTGTTTGTTTATCTAGAGACGCCTCCAGAGGCCCTTATATTGGAGTCTCCATTCACTAATATCCGTGAAGAAGCAAAGAGCCATCCGTTCTCAGTGGCAAGTATAGATCTTATTGAAAATGGACTTACTTTCATTATTAAAATAATTACTATAAAAATGATTGTAAATAAATAAGTATAAAATAAAAATAATCATAAAAATTATTTAAATATTCTAGTGAATACAGATTTTATTAAAAATTAATCCTTGTTTAGTTCTGGGCACTGGCCTGACTACAGAGCTGCCTACAAAGTTGGTAACTTTGCAGCCAGGCTGTCCTGGTCTTGTCTCTGGGTGGTACCCCGGGTAAACCCTGGGTGGGGATTCCAGGGTGAATTGGAGGGGTTAGCTGATGACTGGGCATCACAGTCATCAGCCCTCACAGGCCAGGATTGAGGCCTTGGACCCTCCTTTTACAAGCCTGGCCTATGGGGGCTACTCCTCTGTCCCACTGCTTTCTAGCTGGCCATGTGCTCTGGGGGAGCTGTGTCGGCCCACCACCTGACCTCGCTGCTCTGTTGCAGACCAGAGGAGTTCTCTGTCTAGTCTTACTTTGATGTTGCTTTTTCCCCAAGTTTCGTGGACTCCTATTTTCCGGGGAGTGGAAGCTCTGATGTCTATGGGAAGTCTGGGCTGCTGCTTTGAGGTGTGGGAGCCCCGTTTGTGGGCAGCCCCCACTGCAGCTGGTCTAGGGGCCTCTTGAGCAGGGAGTCTGTGGTCGGGGGGCTGGGGGAGCAGGGGCACCCCAGCACAGCTCTGGTGGGGCCGTAGGTCAGTCTGCTTGGGAGCAGGGCAACCCCTGCACTCAGCACCCTATCTGAACCCTCGACCTTGGCCCTCCGTGTGGGTATTTTAATTGACACATCTGCACATTGTTTCCATGTCGTCTTCAGATATATCGATACTTCCCTGGGTTTGACTGGTTCTTCCTGGATCCCATTACAAGCAGTGGAATTAAATTTGCAAATGATGAAAAGTGAGTACTGTGGTAGAGTACCTAATTTTTCAATTTAGAAAAATGCTGAGAACCCCCAGGATAAGCCTCTTCAATGACATTAACCAAATAGGATGGAATTCTGAACACTAGCGTTTTTCCCTAACCAGCAGGTCTTTATAAAGAGACAGTCAGTTACAGAGCTGCAGCTGACAGAAAAGGAATTTAAAAAGACTGTAGGATTAAAGCAAGATGAAAACAACATGTATTTTTTTGTCCATACAGTTGTTTATTTGAAAATGGTATGTCAAAACCCAGACTCCTAAGCGGATATTAAAGCAGGAATAGTAACTGTCATTCAGAAAGCGGCTTTGCCTCAGCATGTGACTTATGTTTCATTAGTGAAAGATGTTACAAAGTTGATTTTTTTTTTTATTGCAGTAACATTGGTTTGTAACATTGTGTAAATTTCAGGTGTACATCATTATACTTCTATTTCTGCGTTGATTACATCGTGTTCACCATCCAAAGACTAATTACAGTCCATCAGCACACACATGTGTCTAATCTCCCTTTCGCCCTCCTCCCTCCCCTCTTCCCGTGTGGTAACCACCAGTCCAATCTCTGTCTCTGTGTGTTTATTTGTTGTTGTTTTTATCTTCTACTTATGAGTGAGATCATACGGTATTTGACCTTCTCCCTCTGATTTATTTCGATTAGCATAATACTCTCAGTGTCCATCCATGTTGTCACAAATGGCTGGATTTCATCGTTTCTTATGGCTGAGTAGTATTCCATTGTGTATATATACCACATCTTCCTCATCCATTCATCCCTTGATGGGCACTTTGGTTGCTTCCAAGTCTTGGCTATTGTGAATAATGCTGCAGTGAACACAGGGGTGCGTGTATTTTTACACAGTGGTGTTTTCACGTTCTTTGGATAAATACCCAAGCAGTGGAATAGCTGGGTCATATGGTAGTTCTATCCTTAATTTTTTGAGGAATCTCCATACTGTTTTCCACAGTGGCTGCACCAGTTTGCACTCCCACCAGCAGACAAAGTTGATTATTAAACATATCTGTTAGCTAAACCAAAATAATATTCTTGTTAAGAACTCTTTCTTTGAACAACATTCAGATTCTCTTGACATTGTCTTTGTGATATCTTTATTTCACAGGTTTTAATTTCTTCAAAAAAAAAATCCTTATCTAAATATTCGGTTAATGTTTAAAATCTACACTTTGAAACAGAATGTGAAAAAATGGAGTATTTTTCTCCTCGATTATGTGTTTTAGTTCTAAAAATAAAAATAGAACAAACTAAAATTTGAACAAATAAAAAAAAGCCCTGCTTATTTGTAAATATTATTGTTTTGGAACTTAAAGAATTATCTGAATGAACTGGATTCCTTCCAAATACAACCACAGTGAGTGCAGGGCCCCAGCCCCCAGCTGAGCCTGTGGGAACGTGGAGGGGCCAGCAGTGCCTCCCCCGAGGCACAGGCCTCACCTACTGGAAGTCAGGAGCCTAGCAGCTCTGTTGCCAAATACTCGCTAAGGGAACGGCATGTGCGCCAGGCCTCTTCCAGAGTAGGTAAAGGTGAGGACAGATGTCGTACTGTGGAGGTTCTGAACAGACAGTCAGTCCCTCTGTCAGAGTGGGACTTGCACACCAGAAACGCTCCACCCTGGAGGCAGAACGAGGCGAGGGCGTGTGTGCATGTGCAGCACTAGCAGAAACGCAGACTGAGACACGTTGGGCGGGGCGACCCCCCTGGCCCACGTCCTGTCAGGTGTCAGGCCTGTCAGGAGCCCAAACATCAGTCCCGCAGCCTCTCCCCCCATTATGTGGTTTGCTGAAGGGTTTGGATCAAGTGAACCTATTAAAAATGTTAATTTACTTTTAAACATTCTGGAGTGACCCTAAATGTCACTTACACCAAAGGTAGGTGAGAGGATATTGACTCTTTTACCAATAGATTCCTAGTAACATTCATTTGTAATAGGTTTTTTGGCCCACGTAAATGATTCAGTTTGTAAATATTGTTTTGTAACATGAAATGAACATGTCTGCTGGCAAAACTGTTTTCAATTTTCAGAAAATATGCAGGGGCCAGATTTGTCGAATGAATTGATTGATCTCTAGATTTGACTGACACCCTGTCACCTAGAATAGATGTTGATAGAAACATCTGAGAAATCAACTTGTAGTTCCGTAGTACAAAGCTCAGCAGAATTGGAGCTGTTAGTAAGCACCACAGTGAAACGCTCCCTAAACCAAGTCCCTGTGGCGAGTGGGGCGGGGGGCCAGGAGCCCGCAGCCTCTGCCTGGGGCCTCGGTCTAGCCCCTCCTCCTCCCCACAGTGTGAAGCACATCTCCTGCTCCCTGCTCATCCTGCATGCCGAGGACGACCCGGTTGTGCCCTTCCAGCTCGGCAGAAAGGTGGGTGTCCTGGTGCAGGTGGGCGTCCAGCAAACTCATCTTTGGGCACAGGCAAATGTGGAGGAGGGTCCTGCTGCTGGCCAGGGTCCCTTGTGAGGAAGAGAAGGGCAGGGGCGGTCGGCAGCAGGGTTGGGACAGGGGCCGCACAGCTGATGCCACCCACAAAAGGACATGTGAAAAGTAAGGGAATGGCTCCTGGGCCCCGGTACAAGGGTCCTGGCCTGACAGAAACTCAACGGCAGGGCACTCAGCCGGGAGGGCTCGCCAGTTGCCTGGAGGAAAAGAACCGCTGATGATGAGGATTCCCCCACCCCCAGCGCAGGGGTCCAGCGGTAGAACTGATACAGAACCTCTCGTCTGCTCTCTTGCCTTTGGGATTGGGCTGTTGTCAGGGGACCCCGTGTTGTCATGGGGCCTCATGTTTGCTGTTGCTGCCAGGAGGCAGGATTAGATTTTGGGTGACGGTGAGGTAGGAGAGAGCACCGCCCGGCCGTGGCAATGGCAAGGGGCGGAGTCAGCCTAGAGGGAGTGACGCCCGGGCCACTTCTGCCTCAGAAGTGGGCTCTGCCAGGGCCAGGTCCATTCCCTCCAGTGGGTCTGGGCTCACAGCCTCGCCCTCCTGGGGTGGAAGGAGGGGGCTGACGAGGGACAGATCATGAGCCAGCTTGGTGACTGGCCTTGACTGGGCATACAGCAAAGTCTGAGGCACACGGCCCATCCCAGCCCCCAGGACTGAGCCATCAGAGCTGCTCTAGGTACTTGGGCCACCACACCTTCACACGGCAGGGGGACTTTTCTGTGGTGCTGGCTCATCCACCTCACCGCCCGCTGAGGAAGGGTGGTCTGGGAGACAGGCGTGAGGACAAAGAGGGTCTTGAATGGCGGGCCAAGGGGTCGAGCCTGGGACAGACTCCTGCCAGCAGCCCCCGCCCGGGCCCTGGCTGTGGCAGGCTACGGGGCAGCAGTGCTGTGCATAGGGGGCTTGGACTGCTCTTCAGAGCCAGCGGCCACTGGCAGGTCTCTGTTGAAGGGGAAGCCACCAGGCCGCCATCTCGGCACTGACCCCCCTCTCCCACTCCCCAGCTCTACAACATCGCTGCACCATCCCGAAGCTTCCGAGACTTCAAAGTTCAGTTTATCCCCTTTCACTCAGACCTCGGCTACAGGCACAAGTACATCTACAAGAGCCCTGAGCTTCCACGGATACTGAGGTGAGGCGTTCTCCTCTCACTAGGGATGTTGCTGCCGGTGGTAATGGCCCAGGCCAGGCGTGCAGCAGGCACAGCAGCCAGAGCTGTCCCACTGGGGCCAAGGGTCGCAGGGATTCAAGAGCCTGCCGTTTCCATCGAGAGCGGTGGAGAGTGTTTATTGCCTCCCCCCGGGCCGTTCTCATGGTCAGGCAGGCAGTGATCTCCTCATGGTCCAGGCTGTGCAGGCCCATAGGCACCCCACATAGGGGCGCCCAGCCCACAGACGGCTCTGGACAGGAGTTCCTACACACCCCTCAGATCGCTGCCCTGTGCACACAGCACACGGGGACTCTGGCCTGGGCCAACTCCTCAAAAGTCAGTTTGTCCCCAGCTGCTGCTTGAAGGGAGGCTGTGCTCCTGGCTGCGCTGGCCAGAATCCTGGGCCAGGACATGAGCTGCAGCCTGGAGGGCTGTGGGCACCCATCTTGGGCCGAGTGCAGAGCCCGAGTATGAGGGGTGAGGTGGTGGCCAAGGGCAGAGTTTGGACTGGACCAGGCCTAGCCCCACCCTGGGAGTTGGGGCTTTTGTGGCGGGCCCAGCCTCCCCACCTCCAGTCCGAGGGCACAGGCAGCCCACTATCTCCTGGCTGTGTGGCCTTCTGCAAGATGCGGAGGTGGGAACAGGAAGAGCTTGCCTTTCCGGGGCTGCTGAGCCAGGGTGGGGCTCAGATCGGCCCTCATGAGGTGTATCTCATCTGTAAGTCTACCTCACACTTCAGCTCTCCTCTGGCTGCCTTTCGAAGTTCCAGAGGTAAAGCTGCATTTCTTTAGCGGTTTGCCATTCCTTGCCACACGGACGTGGGTTACTGAGGGGAGACAGTGAGCTGAAAAAGTATGGGGTGTGATTTTTCCCCATTATAAAAGGAATATATTACAGTGAATTTAGAACAGAGTATAGCTCTAATGTCCAGAATAAAGAAGAGCAGCCCGTAACCTGGTCTCTATTCCCACGCATCAGGATGACTGGGTGATGCTGTTGGGGCCCTGCTTGTTCAGCTCACTAAAGGGTTTCCAAGTGGGAGTGTGGTCCTCCAGGCTCCTTCGAGGCCTCCTCAGAGAGGCCATTTGAGGACCAGAGGAGATGGGATTTCTGATTTGGGCTCAAGGGATTTGGCTGACGGGTGACCTCCTCTGGTCTAGGGAATTCCTGGGGAAGTCGGAACCTGAGCGCCAGCACTGAATCTCGCTGCTGAAGGAGCGTGAAGACCTCTGCCCTCCTCCCCCTTTCCTCTAGCCAGCCTGGCACCCTACAGCCCCGGGGGTGCCAGCATCTGCGATGCACCTGGAGAGAGGCCTCGGATGCCAGCTATGGTGGGCTGAGGAGGCCCCAGCAGACCTGAGGCGTCCTGCCCCAGTGCCTGGGAACATGGATCTTTGTGAAAGACACAGGTGGCAGGCATGTGGCCCTCTCTCCCTCTTGCTGCCACTCAACCTGAGCCCTTGTTGGGAAGACAGTGACAGCAGGCCAGCCACCGTGGCTGGTTGATCCCACACTGCCTGAGCTGGGCATGGGGAGCCTGGAGCAGGTGGTGTGGGGTCTCGGGACCACACTGAGCTTTCTGGCACAACCTTCAGGAACATGGGGAGACTTGGGTTCTTTCTGTCCCTTCTTGGCACACGCAGAATGGACTCAAGTGGTTTGACCATCCCCTCCTGCCCTCTACGCACCCTGCTTGCCTTCCTTGGCATCCCTGCCTCTCTGGGTGGGCCCCAGTGCTCATAGTGGGGAGGTGCCTGTGATCTGCACTTCCTCCGCTCTCTGCCCACCTGTCCGCCTCACCTGGCCTTAGACTGAGCATTTATTTAAGAATAAAATCGTGGTGGTGGTTTGTCGTCATTTTCTCTGTGAGGCCTCCAGCCGTCAGGCCCTGCCCACAGCCTCAGGCCACATGGGAGGAGGGGTGGCTCTGTAAACCAAGGATCCTGGGTCTTGCTTTCCTCCCTCCTTGCAAATGTATGGGAGGAGTGTTGTCTGGGGCGGGGGAAGGGGCAGGCATGTGCATGGTGGGGCCGGCTTCTCCAAATGGGGCAGATGGCAATTTCCTACAATACAGACCTACATGGGTGGCCCTTTCAACCTCACACTCACCTGCTCAACCTGCAGGTCTGCCTCTTCCATGTGTCATGCGCCAAAGATCCTGCTTCTCACCGTCCCCAGCGCTGGGGAAGGGCCAGGTTGTTACGTCCTGGCTAAGTAACCTTCCTCCGAGAACCAGAGCGTGTGTGCCTTAATAAGAACAGGGGTTTCGAGCTGCCTTTGCTGTGCAGGTACAAGGGTGTGTCCCAGATCCCAGGATGTGAGCTGGCCTGAGACAGGGCCTCCCCAGATGAGATGACTGGCTTTCGTCCCCTGGGTCCTAAGGCTCTGGAACTTTCCAGTCTTGGCAGCCCAGAAACTCCCCAGGGGTAGGGAGGGCTCGTTCGTCTGCCTGCCTGTTCTCCAAGGTCTCAAGGCCAGAGTTAGCAGCTTGGGCTGGCTGGGGCCCCAAAGGCCGGGGCAGGTTCCACCTTCTGTCTGAGGCACCTTAGAGCTGCCTACGGCTGTTCTGACACCTGGGAAATGCACACCTTTCCTAAAACAGGCTGAAACGTGAATAGACTCTCCTCAGGTCAGTTTGCCAGAACATTTATCTTCTCCTGGACAGGTGTGTGTCCCCCCCCCACTTCCTGTATCTAATTCAGGTGTGAGCACCGCCCCGTTCCTGGCTGCGCATCTCCTCGCATCTCCATCTGAGCTGGGACACACGGTCTGGTCCAATAGCTGGGACCCAGTAGCATCTTTCTGTGCAACTGCTCTGCATCAGAGGCCCTGAGTCACTAAATCACTATGCCACCTGGCCTGGGCAGCCCCTTCATGGACATGGGGTGCTCTTCTTGCTTTGTCACTGAGGATCCTGGAGGCCCCACGTCTCAGCCATATTCCCAGCCCGTCTCAGCCAAGGAAGCGGACGGGACGTGCTCACTTGCTGTCTCAGACCTGGCCTGCTCTCCCTGGGCTCAGGTCTTCATCTCGTTTCTTTAACTTGATGTGAGCTGCCGCAGATCTCTTTTGGGGGGAATGAGGTAGGATACAGCGTGAAAACACAAGCTGTTGGTGTTACAGGTGCCTGACAAGATGAGGAAGCGCAAGAGGGGAGCTCTGAGCTGGCAGCTGCTGGGCCATCGTCTGAGAGTGAGTCAGGTCCAAACACCCCCACCTGGTGGCTTCTGAGCTTATCACCTTGGTCTAAGCAGCTAAGCTGAAACTGGGTTAGGACCGACCCTTTGATGATGGGTTACAAAATCAATAGTCAGGACCAGTCCTTAGAAAAAAAAAAAAAAAGGAACAGGAGAAAAGGAACAGAGGGAGATGTGCACAGCTGTGAACTCTTCAGTTACACTTGTGTCCTGGGAGCCACAGGACGAGCTCTTAGTGCCCCCGACCTGAGACTGGGAATGGGGAGTGGGCATTCCGGGTGCACCTCAGCCGCCCTCGACCAAGGAAAGCCTCGCAACGCCATGACCCCAACAGGAGTCCACGGTGCTAAGTGCCTGCAGTTCTCGGCTTCTTTGGATAACACTGTTTTTTGATTCAACCTGCAGCTGTACAGTCTAGGGGGACAATCTTTTGGTCCCCAGGGCATTCCACTTCCCAGGGTCAGGAGTGGGTGGCAGAAAACAGGTGCAAAGAGGGACCAATACAATGCACACCAAAAATGCCAATGCCCAGATGATGGTCTCCCATGTGGCTGGACGCAACGCTTCTTTAAAGAGCCAGCAGTTCATGCACAGAGGGCTGTAAGTCCCACCCAGGTCCGGTACAAGAGACCTTTCTGTCCTCAATCCCAGAACGATGGGCTGTAATGTAGCCCGGTCCGGTTAAGAGGGAAGGTCTGAGGCCCGCCCCGGGACCCGGCCGTGCCCTCAGTGCTGAGTGAAACACAGAGGCCAGGTCAACCAAGCAGGGGCAGGTTTAATGGGCTTCTCTCACAAGGTAGCAACAGCCAGTGGCATGGTGATGGTCACACACAGCCTAAGGGATGGGACAGTGGAGGGTATTGGGGGGGCAACCACAGCTCCCAGTGGCTAGGGTGAAGCGGGCCCATGAGCAGATCCTCCACGGCCTGGTTCCGTGAGCAATCAGGAGCCGGGATGAGGGCAGAGCTCCCGTGCCGCCCAGGTCCAGCATGAAGGAGGCAGAGGCTCTGCAAGGGTGCTTCCGCCCCGTGTCTCCAGCAACCCCACGGGGAAGGGCGTCACCTGCTCCTGGTGCTCTGGGCAGCTGAGAGGGGCTCCCCCGCCCTTCCAGCACCAGCCTACTGTCTAAGAAGATGCAAAGTGGGCTCCCCTCAGGACCTACTCGGTCCTTTTCCAGACCAGGGAGGCCAGCCTTGTTACAAGACAGGAAACACACCCTCTGGCACACTGCAGCGTGGTGGGGGATTGGGTGGGGGGAGGCACAGATCTGCAGCAGGGGCTGGGCATCAGCCTCCCCCAGCAGAGGCAGTGACCCCACCAGGGGCCTCCAGGGCCCGGCAAAAACATCCCAGCATCACCTCCCACAGCGTGAAACTTTAGAAGGACAGTTTTTAGTTGCTAAAAAAAAGCTTCAGCTAGCTTCATTTCCTTGTGAAGTTAATTTTCTTTTGAAAAGGTAAAACCAAGCCAACTCCGCATCAGCCAGCCTGTCCTAATCAAGGCCCCTAGATGCCCTCCCCAGTGTCACCCTCAGTCATCCTGGGGCCTCTTTATCTGATCAATCTGGAAACTCTGTGCCAGGGCACCCACACAACAGCTGTAAAGACATGGCCTGGAGCACTGGACCCTCTCAGAACCAGGCCAAGGAGGACTGGGCCACACTGGCCAGCCAGACCAGGGCTACAGAAATAAACACTTCCCCAGGCTTCACTAAGGCCACCTGCCCAGACCTCAGAGTCCAGAGGCTCAAAACCAAAAACAAGCTCACAGCAAGGTGCGTGCAGGGGCTCCGAGAAGCGTGCGTGGGGGACTGAAGTGATGGGGCTAGCTGCCATGGTCAGTGCTGCGAGCCCTGCTTTCCTGCAGGAAGCCGGGGAGCACCTCACTCTCGGCACCTTTCCTTCCTTGCCCGCCCCCCTCGAGGCCACCACCATAATCCCCAAGGCCCTCATGGAAATAGCAATGAAAAAGCAGGGACCACTGGCTGCTGGCAAAGTGCTTGAAAACCGGCATGAGGTGCAGAGTCAACAAGAAAACAAGCCTGCTGGTCCCAACGGTGCCAGGGCACCTAGTCCCTGGGGAGGTTGGGGGGCGGGATCTGCAGGTCAGAGGGCTCCACACCCCAGATGTCCCGTGCATACTCCGTGATGGTCCGGTCACTGGAGAACTTGCCCGAGCAGGCAATGTTCCTGATGACCTTCTTGGTCCACTCCTTCGGGTTCTGCAGAGGGAAGAAGGTGCTGAGTCAACTGCACAAGAGGACCTGTGCTGCCAGAACTAGAGGATTGTTCCCAGATGACCTCTTAGCTCTTGCGGCAGCCTGACAGAAGAAGAGGAAATTACAACCTGAAAAGGGGGCCCCCACCGACCAGAAAAGCTACCAAATAACTAGAAATAGGGGCAAGGAGCCTGAGAAGGTCCTGGCCCTCGAAACTCTCCACGTCGTGCTAGGGCATGGCCCATGCAACAAAGACAGAAACCACTAGGTGACTGTTCGCCACTAGGTGGATCCAATGCCCAGGGGAAATGGCCAAGCGGTCTCCTTTCTCCCAGGGCTTCCCCAGAGCCTGGCAGCTGCCCCCAGACTCAGCCAGCACCAGGAAGGGCCTCCCCCAGAAAGCAGACTCTCCTGAGGCCCAGATGAGGGAAGCAAAGGCTCCTCCCAGATCCCTGCCCGTCCCTCCGTCTCCAGGCCCCCTCTCTCCTGTCCTTTCGCAGGAGGGAGCATCAGCAGATGCTTCCCCAGGGCAGGCAGGGCTGCAGCTTGCCTCGGGGCAGCGGGTGGTGGGGACTGGTAGCAAATCAGAAGCACAAACCCCTCAGGCCTCCTCCAAGAACCTGCTTAAACAGTTTGGGGAAATAGACTATCTGACCCAACTACTCTGCACAGTCACACCACTGTCACAGGGTCCCCTCCCACTGCTGTCCTCGGTGGGGTGCACAGGGTAGGACACCCAGAAAATCCCTGAAAAGGGAGGGCAGCAGGCACAGAGGGTCACTCTCTGTGGACGTGGGTCTTCCCAGGAGACCCCCATGGGCATGCCCACTCCCTGCAAGCCACACCAAGGAGGGGACACTGCTCCCACAGGCTGCCATGTGCCAGCTGGGTGCACGCTCCAGACAGTCGGGAAAGGGTTTCTCTCCTGGTCCACCCTCCCCAGGGAGCCAGGAACTGGCTCCAGCAGCCCTGCCTTACAAAGTCCACTCCTTACAGCTTCAAGACCCTCACTCTACTTAATACCTTCTCAGGAAATTGTTCACATTCTCACTCTAAACACAAGCTTTCTGCGTGCACACAAAGGTCTTCACTGCTCACCAGGCCCTTCCCTCATCTTGTGCCTCGTGTGCTGCACCTTCTCCCCTGTGCCCTCCCGATCCCACCCAGAGGGGTGGTCAGACTGCAGGCTGGGGCACAGCCCGTCTCCTCCACTGTCTGCTGGGGCCACGGCACAGACCTCAGGAAGAAATGCCTGTTCTGCTGATGCACTCTGGCAGCTGCTCAGAGGCTGCACGGGAAACATGCTGGTGTGGACAGCAGCCTGGCCCCAAAGGGTCACAAGGCACCAGCCTTGGAGAGGAGAGCAGAGGGACAGCTGAGGGTCCCTGAGTGGAAGACGATGAAGAAGCACTGGACAGCAGGACGGCCCACACCCATGATGTGGCTCAGCTCGCAGAGCCCCCAGCCACTCTGCTCTGGGCCACAAGCTGAACTGTGACCTCCCAGGAGTGGCCAGAGATAGGACATAGGTGCATCCTGCGGCTCCCCTGCCAGGGCTGCCTCTGCCAGTTCTGGGGCCCAAGAACCTTACCCGGTACAGCTGGTCCACCTGGGCCTGGCATGCCATGTACGCTTCATAATCTGCAAACACTTTGAACCTGAAACGGGAGACAGGAGGCTGGGCCACAGCGGCGGGCAGCAAGTGGGAGGTCAGGAAACCAACCGCCAGTCCCCTGCCGTCCACGTCCCCATGCTCTGGGGTGATGGAGCCTATTTGGCCACAGGGGCTGCTCTGTGAACAACACTTCTGGGGACACTACTCTAGAAAAAACTTATTTTAACCCAATGTTTCTTTAAAGAAATGGCATTTACAGTGCACCCTCCCTGTGCATGTAGGTTAGAACTACACAGGCTGAGAGCCATCTTGCCAATGTCACCTCCCAGGGAAGGAACACAGGATGACAACAAGGCTCCATTTAGTCGTCTGTTCTCTGGTCTAACTGGGCCGAGAACCGGTGATATAGAAAAAGGATGTTCTGGAGGAAAACCAAGATTTATGAATACAGAAATGCATTTTTGTTTACGACTGAGTCACAAACACAATTCATAAAACCATTAAAAGTGTTCCTTGATCAAAGATCTCAGCCAGGGCCAAGTCCTTGGCTCAGCTACACGTGTGGAGGGACAATCTGGTCTGACCGAAGCCAGCTGACAGCACTCAGCAAAACGCAACACAGAAAATGAACCAAAAGGCAACTGAAAGTGGAACAGGGGTCAACTCTCACGTTCACCAGATTCAACTTGCACCAATGGGGTGGAACCAAGAACTGCCATGAGCCACGGCAATGCTGACCAGCTCTAAGTCAGGCCGCCTGTCTGGAGATGAGGGAGGACCACCGCCCCATGAGGATGCACTGCCCACAGAGCCATCTACAGCGTCACAAGCTGTGTCCGCTTCAACCCTTTGGTGTCCGCACGGCCAGCATCTGCTGCAGCCGGAACTCCTCTGTCTCACACACCTGCCCCGCCTGCCTCCCAGAGGTTTCTGGGGTGTCTTGCACACCCCCTCTTCCCTGAGGAAGAGAGGACCCAGGAATCGCCTCCAACCAGCCCCTTGTGACACCACCTCCTGCTCCTCACGCCCTTCCAGGGGGTCAGTGCTGGGGTGCTGGGGGGCCTGGGCTGGTCCATGAAGCCAGCCGTTCCCACCACCAGGCCCCCAAGGCATGCCAAGCACTGCCAGGGGCTCTTCAAGCTCCAGGCCCTGGGTGTAGCCGAGTCTGAGGCGCTGCCCATGGGCTGAGGGGGGCAGCAAGCCTTACCAAGACCCAGGTTTTACTCCCGAAGAATGTGCAGTTTTCAGCCCACCAGGAGGACCCGTCTGTCTGACCGACAGTGGGGAGGGACACAGAGACAAAGGGGAGGCCAGTCCCACCTGTCGTGGTTCAGCAGCATGTGGACAACATCCTTGAAGCAGTCTGGCTCCTTGGGGGAGAAGAAGCCACTGCTGATCTGGTCCACAGCCTGCCTCAACTCGGGCAGACGGTCATAGAACTCTCTGGCGTTGTACCTGCGGGGAGATGAGGCCAGGCTCAGCTGCCCAGGGTCTCCAGGAGGCAGCCTCGGGGTCAGACAGCGGGGCCGTCTGTGCTGGGCACTCCCCTGGCCCAGGACTGCCCCAGGCTCCAGGCCCGCGAGGTCGGAGGTCTTGGATGGCAGCCACTGGCCACGTGGGCTGCCGGGCCCTGGGGAGGGGCCGATGTGCTGCTGTAAAGTGCAAAGTCCAGCCCCCTGCTCCTTTTCCTGTTTACAGAGTCGTGGTCTCTAGAAGACACGCAATCACATGCATGGCTCCATTCCATGGACGTATTCCTCCGGGAAAGGCTGCTCAAGAACTTGCCGGACTGCTTGATCCCTGTTCCCCCCGCCCCCTCAGCCCCTGCCCTGTGCCCCTTGCCCTCACCCTGCCCCACCCTTCTGCTCCCCCCTTCTGCCCCCGTCTACTCCCTGCCCCTGTGCCACCATGATGACAGAGGAGGACGGGAAGGACCTGACATGGAACACCAGGCAGGAGGATACACAAGAGGCCCGTGGCCACCAGGGAGTGTGGGACGAGGGAGGCATGTGGCAGATGTGTCTGTCCCAGGACTTGGGGATGGGGCTGATGGAGCCTGAATGAGGGGTGAGTAGAAAAGGGCAGGTGGGGGTCTGTGCTCTCAGGCTGACATCTGGCTCACTCTCAGGCAGAGACTTTTTAGGTGACACTGGGGTTTTCATCCGGCTGGTGCCTGATGCCTCACCAACTTCCCAGTGAGCTTTCAGGCAATTACGCAACACTGCCTTTTCCTTTAACTACTAGTCAGGGTTAGGCTGGGGCCAGACCCCTCAAAAGCATCCAGGGAAGTGAAAAGCGAGGATGGGCTGAGGATCTGTCAGCAGAGGAGATGGGAGACCTGAGATCTAACACAGGGGTCACTGACTAGTAAAGACGGAAGCACCAGGGAGGCTGAGAGAAGGTCCACGGCACACTCTGTACTGTCCCTGCAACTTTGCTGTAAATCTGAAACTATTCCAAGACAAAAAGGTTATTTTAAAAAATTAGGCCAGGGAATCTCAGCAGTGGGTCAGCCCCAAATCCCCAAACTGGCCAAGAGTGCTCAGGGCCCCGTTCCCGAGGGCTCCCCTGCCAGAGACGAGGGCCTTCCACCCTTCTGCAAACACTGGGTCTGGACCTTATGGACTGGGCTGTGGAGAAGAAGCACAGAGCAGCCAGCTCCCACCCAAGCCGGCCTCCTGGGACAGCCTACTGGGTGCTCAGGAAGAAAGTAGACTTGGCCAGTGCACCGGCAGCCACAGAATGCCCAGCAGGCAGGCATTCACCCTGGCAAGTGGAGCCCTGGCCCTGAGAGCCCTCACAACCTCCCTGGTGCTCTGGGCAGTGCCCAGGATGCCGCTGTGTCCCTGATGTCGGGGAGAGACACATACCCTTTCCGGTCCAGGGCCTCGACGTCCTCCACCCGCAGGCCAAAAATGAAGAGGTTCTCGGCTCCAGCTTCCTCGGCCATCTCCACGTTGGCACCGTCCATGGTACCGATAGTGAGGGCCCCATTGAGCATGAACTTCATGTTGCCCGTGCCTGAGGCCTCAGTGCCCGCAGTGGAGATCTGCTGGGACAGGTCTGCAGCGGGGATCACTGCAGGGGGGCAAGTGCAGGAAGGCAGGTCAGCCACAAAGCACTCCCAGCACGAGAGCGACGGGAGGGCACAGGAACGCCATGCTGCCTCCTCCCAGCCCGAGGCCAGCACTGCCAGCACAAATACCACCTCCTGCTCACTGCAGGCCCCACCTCGCCTGTAAGGGCAGGCTAGGGCAGAGGGTCCAAGATGGGGACCTCCTCCTGAGGAGAAGCCCCCCAGGTGGCAAAGGACCTTTATTCTGGAACCTTCCAGGGACCAGGGCGTAACCAAAGTATGGTGGGGCCCCAGGCCCTGGCCCATCAGTGCTGTCATTCCCAGTCACCCCAACATCACTTCTGTCTTATCAGCCCATAAGGCTCCTTAGACCACTTCAGGAAGAATCCAGACTCTTAGGGAACCAGAGGACTAGAAAAGCAGGGCAATTTCCTCGTGTTCACATGCACAGGAATTACCCTGTGCTGTACGCAGACTGGGCACAGCGGCCACAATGACGACCTAAATGTCACAGCCCTGCAGCTTCTCTCAAGCGTGGGTCCCCACGCCTCCAAGACGTGGCAGGTGGGAAAGCAGCCTCTGTCCCGCCTGCCTTGGCACCCCTGCCCCCACCTCTTCAGCTGGTCCACGGAGCTGAGGCTGCTTCCCTAGCCCAGCAGGCTGGTACTCAGGGTCAGCACAGAGCAGAGCCCAGCTCTTCTTCAAGGTGCCAGGGTAAAGAGACACAGGCGCCTCCTGCCCTGGGAAGCCCCACTCTCAGGACAGAGGAACATGAGCAGATGCGACCGTGGACGTGTTTCCACACCAAGTCCAAGAGCTGGGGGAGAATGAGGGGGCCAAGACCCCAGCTCTGAGGCCCCAGACTGGGCATCCCCAAGGTCAGCTCTAAAGATGTGCAGAGCCAGGGCCCCCCAAATAATGGCGAGCGGGGAGTTCCATGCAGCAAAGGGCCCTAAGACATGTCAGGAGCCCGGTGACGGACTAACCACAACAGCACCCCCGATCCACGCCAGGCCGCAGCAGCCAGACCACAGCTATGTTCTGATGACCAGCCGAGCTGACGGGAGGAGGCGCGCATCAGCCCGCATGCATTTACTCAGACCAAGTGCGGAAAGCGGCAGCTGGTCTGTCTGAACCATGAGGGGCCTGCATCTCAGCACCAGAATTCCAGGCTCAGGTTTCCCACCATTTGGTTGGGCAAATTGATTTCCTGCCCGGGTTTCCAGAAGCGGCCACTTTAGAAAGGCCCATCCAGGTCAGGATGGCCGTGCTCCAAGTACATCTGGCCGCAGGACCTTCTCCAGGCAGCAGTACACATCCTGGGTGAGTCTCCCCTGGACCCTCAAAGTGGAGCAGCCCCAGACAACTGTCAGCAGAATGGGGGGGACGTCAGCCCCGAGCTGCCTCAGAAAGGACAGAAGAGGCAGGGCTGGCCTAGAAGAGAAGTAGGTAATGCCCTTGAGAGCAAACAGGTGAAAAGCAGAAGCATCTTCTGGGGAGGGGAGAGGAAAAGGGGAGGGAAGAGGTGGCTGTGGAAGCTCATGCCAGCAAGAGCGAGCCCCAGGGGCAGAGAAGAGAGGGAGGAGGAGGGACAATGAGATCACGGGCAGAAGCGAGAAAGTACAGAGACTAAAACGTCCGAGGTTGAGAGTATTCTCCGCACCCAAAGACGGACGGAGAGCTTCCCCAGAGCCTTTCACTCCTAGAACAGAGGCCCCCCTCAGGCTGGGGGAACCTGGTGTCCTGGGCAGAGTTAACCTGTCTGACCAGCAATGACCACTCACATTGTGCCCAGCAGGGGTAGCTTTTCCTATCTAACGTGGCCCCCCCGGGGCTACCTTTCTCAGCCAAGGACACACGGTAGTTCTCCAGGAAGATCACTTTGAGCCTGTCACCCACAACTGGATCGTGGTTGATGACATCGCCGATGGATGTGACCAGCTTGATGATCATCTTAGCCATGTGGTAACCAGGGGCTGCCTGGAAAGGGGGAAGGCGGGTTAAGCATGAACACAACTGTGCTCGGGGCAGAGCAGGGTCCTCGGGGGTCCCAGCACTGCCACCAGTCACCGGAGCCTGGTGCCAGACACAACTGAGCGGTGCCGCCAGTGTTGGGGGGAGTGGTTCTCGGTGCCGCAGAGGGACTGCGGCTGCAGCACCCCTGCCTCCTTGCACGCCATCTGGCAGACTGACTCATGACAGAAGCACCTGCACCCACACCAGCCACGATGCCCCACACTTGTCTCCCTCGGCTCCGACAACGTGTCTCGTGATGGCCACATCACCCATAGGCAGAGATCTGTCAGTCTCAAGCTCGTTTTCTGATTCTAGTCAGTTTTTCAGAAATGAAGAGGTAAAAGAAACAGGACTTTTAGAACTGACTACCAACTTACAAGAAATACAGGGAAATAAGGAATAGTCTGGAACACACCAGAGGGATGCAGTCAGAAAAGGCCAGCCTGGGGAAGACACAGCCCATTTCTATAACAAATAAATTGCAAGGGAAAAAGAGGGAGACGTGGAGGAAGCCTACAGATGAAGAAATTGAAGAGAAAGCAAGCAGCCGGCCCATTAGGCCCTTGCTAGGTCCTGATGCAAACAAACTGCTCAAGGCAGCTGTCACCTGAACACCCAGGGTGACGGTGGCACTGTGTGATGGGGTGCAAGAGTTGACCACCTGGGGTTCTGGAGGAAGACGGCACTGTGGAGACGTGAGGTCTGCAGGGTTAGGGCTGTGAGGTCTGGGATCTGCTCTGAAATGGCCCAGCAGAGCCTGTGGAAGGGCTTCACTGATGTTCTACAATTCCTTCCACTCTTCTCTAGGCTTTTAATAACTAACATTTTAAAAACTGTTTGAAAGCCCATATCTTTAAGAAATGCATACTGAAATGCTGACAAATGAAAGGGCATGCTGTCTAGGTTTTGCTTCAGAAACAGCAGGAGTTGGAGCGGGCAGAGACCAAATGAGGTGGGTGTGAGCTGCTGTCAGAAGCTGGGTGGGCCCAGGGAGGTGCGTGGACCTCCCGTCCACCTTCGGACATGCTTTAGTTGGAGAAGAGGACAGTGCCTGGGCCCTGCCCCACAGCCTCCCTTAGGAAGCTGCACCCCAGAGCATCCTTGTTCTCTGATCAGGCTCCTGGGGAAAAGTGGCAGAGGATGGAGACACCAGCCCTAGCGCACACAGTCCGATGATGGGACCCGCCAACGCCTAATGGCAATACGCTGGGACTCCACAACAGCGTGTCCAAAAGCATGCGCCATAGTGAATAAAGTGAAATAAAGTCACGCTGAGCTCAGAGCAGGCACACCTCTGGTTGATGAAGCAGCCAGCACCTGTGTCCACTCAGCACATGAGTGCAGGGGAGCGAGTGGGGCAGCGTGCTGGGGCCGGAGAGCCAGGCACAGGTGCAGAAGGGCAGTGGTCATGCAGAGAAAGGGCACTGCCCCATTGGATGGAGGGGCCAGCAAGCCCACTGGGGACTGCCCTTGGGGCTAGGGACTTCCACTCCATGTGTTGGGCACGGAGGGGTCCCATCCAGCTCCCTCCTATTGCTGAGCTGACGGTGAGCGAAACAACCCAGCCCACAAGCACCCTGGGGGCCAAGGGACCTCTGGCACTCTGTACACGCTGGCTCCGAGCCACCCGCAGAATCCAGCCCACTGGGAAGCTGTTGCCCGAGCTGGGACGCAGTGGCACTGCCAGAAAACATGGCGGTTTGTGCATTCTGACCAAATATCAAGCGAGGAGCAAAGCCGATGTTACCTCACCTTGCCCCCAATCATGACAGTCCTGGGCACGAAGGCCTTGGCCGGGTCCTTCTTTATTCCTGCAGGACAGACAAGAGATGCAGGTGAGGCAGCTGGAGCCGACACACCACTGCCCTGGGGCTGCAGCAGCCAGAGCCCTCAGAGGCATGCCCCACACAGACAGTGGGCAAGGCCACCGGGCCCACGTGCCCACCAGGATTCCCACTCACAGGATGGGGACGAGGCCCCTAGATTCTGCACTTGTGTCCCAGGCTGGTGAGGAACACCAGCCAGGAGCAGACTCTTCCAAAAGGCTCCTAGGAAAAGCTGCACCTCTGTTTCCAGAACAGCCCGACACAGGAGCGTGGTTTGGCCTGTCACCAGGACTCGGGGCCCTTGCACATGACGGGCACTCGCAAAAGAGGTGACCTTGGGATTGTGGCAATGGCACTGCCAGCCCTCGAGGGGAATCAGGTGAGACCCCAAGTCCCCCACTCCCGCGCTGTGACACAGAGGTGCGAAGCCGGTCCTGAGCTCTCTGCACAGGGCAGACAGAGTGTCAGGCCACAAGGGCCGGCTCACTCTCAGCCCCAGCAAACTGAGGGTGTCCTCGCCGGACCAGTGTTTTCAATTTCAGTGTGTGTCGGGGGCTGTTGTCTACACAGAGGAGACGACAGGAGGCCCCACACAGCATTCCCCAGAGCCGGAACCAGCCAGAAGCAGTAAAGAGGCTGATCTTGAAAATCCGACTTTAGGGTCTCGTAGGAACACAGCTGTTCCTTAGTTCTCAATCTTCCTGCTTCCAGAATCAGGCAGAATAACATGGAGAATAGTAAAAAATAAAAACACAAACTACATTTTCACCAAACCTACGAAAGAGAAAAAACATGCGAACTCCAGATCACTGAGCAGGTTCTGCCAGGTCATGGGGTGGGTGGGGGACAGGGCTGCAAGTGTGAAGGGTCCTGGGGCCCGGCCTCTCCAGAGGGGGCTGTTAATAGGGCTTGCGTCCTGGGGGGCAGGGAAGGAGCCCTGGGGGACCAGGCGGGCAGACCTGTCAGCGCCTCTCCTATAGGGAAACCTTGGGAGGAGGGTCTGACATCCTGGTGGACAGAGGCCCACAGGGCAGAAAGCAGAGAGCCAGGACAGTGGGGGCGCTCCTGAACCAGCCTGGACTCGGAGAGACAGAGGAGACGGGCCCCAGGGAGCAGCACAGGCTGGGGAAGCCTGCAGCTGCCCTGGAGCGCCACACAGCCCCTGCTGGTGGCGCTGGGCAGTGCAGCTCACTCACATCCGAGCAACAAACGTGAACACACGGCTCGCGACAGACAAGGAAAAGAGGAACCGACCTGCCGCTGAGAATCTCCAACCTGAGATGACCATCAACTTGGAAAGGAGACCACGGGGCAGAAACACAAGCCCTCGGGGAGAGAAGGCAGCACACGGGAGCCCGTGAAATGAGAACTGGCAGGACGCAGGAGCGAAACGGCAGCACCACCACGCGGACATGCAGCCTGGTTTCAGGAGCCAGGAGGGAGAGGAGACTCGCAGAAAGCACCACAGCCCCACAGACGATGGAAACGAAAAAGCGGACAACACAATGGAAAACGAAAGAGCTCTGGAAACATTCAGAGAGACATCAACAGACACGAAGACAGGTAAGAGAGACCACCACACCCCTCGCTGGAGTCCCAGAAGAAGAAAAGCAAAACAATGGCACCAAATAAATGTTGCAAATAGATTTCAAGAAAACTTCCTAGAAATAATACAAGACGTCAGTTGACATATCCCAAGAGCATACTAGGCATCAGCAAAAACTGCCCCACAACGGTCAGGACCAAGACACAGCCGAGTGAAATGAGCACAGGCAGTGGGACAGTTCACGCGTGGGACCAAGACCAGCCAACAGCCCAGCCTCCAGACAGCAGAGGGCAAGCACCTAAAAGACACTCAAGGAAAAGAACTGAAGCCAAGAATGTCACCTTCAAACTGTCCTTCATGTTGAAAGGCCACAGGCTGTTCTGACAAGCAAGAACTAGGAGTACAGGTCACATGAGCAGTTGCTGTGAACTAGAGGGAAAGTGGGGCACTGTGGGGAGTACTGAATGTGCTCATCCACAGACTAAGACACAACTCAAGTCCAGGACGGGGTGGCAGAGCAGAGCGTCAGCGTTGTCTGCTCCAACCATGGAGCAACCACGCGCACACACAGAGGCAGAAGGCGACGAAGGAGTGGAAACAAGCACAGGCCCCCAACGGCCTCAGGGGAACAGCCGGGAATCCCAGGGGGAGGAAGGGCAGGGCGCCCGCGACTGCACTGCTGTTCATAATCTGGGGACCAACAGGGCCATTCAAGCAGGGAACTTGGGGATACCACTGGGCAAATGACAAAGAAAATGCAGAGAACCACAACTGCAAAAGAAAGACATTGCAAAGAAAACCCAACAACGTCTCCGTGAAACACTTTCTGGCCAGGGAAGCATCGTGAAGCACCACCTTTGGCTGTGCACACAAAGGTCCTCACCGGGGCCTTTCCTAAAGGCCCGGCAGCAGGCGCACTCAACCACACACACCATCTCTCCTGCTGCTCTTACTTACTGGTAACAGGAGAGCTGATGTTCTTGAAAGGAGCTCTGTGTCTTGAAATGAGTATCTGTGGTTTCTTTGGTTTTCAAAATTAATGTCCACTTTACTACGTTACAAAATTTTTAAAACCAAGTTTTCCTTAAGGTTTTGTTATACTTATAAACCTAGCAAATATTCATATTTACTTTCAAGGGATCTTTGATTCCTGTTTGCTCTCATAATTAAATGCTGCTTAAACAATTAAGGTATGTGTATAAATTTAACATAGCTTTTTAATTTTATAGGTGTACTTTCAATGCCTCTAATAAGTAAAATCTTTCCACATAACTCAAGACGAATCTGATAAAGATAATAACTAAATTTAAAGTAAAAACTAAACTGAACACAAAACCCGGCCTTCGAGTCCCACGAAGCCCCTGATCACCAAGGCCCCACTGACTCCTCAGGCTGCAGCTGAGGTCCCGCAGCCCCACAGACCCTCTCAGGAGTTCAACTGTTCACCTGCCTCATATGGCTCAGGCCTGGTCCCCAACCAGACTGGAGGCCAGCTCACCTGCACTCCTCTGTAACCACTCTGCCACTGAGCACATACAAAACTACAAGGCTACTGCTTAAAATCAACGTGCACTGTCACACACACCCCTCCACGCCAAACCCCAGGAAGAAGAGGCCCAGGTCCCAGGGTGAGCTGGCGAGGGAGGGCTGAGGGGTCCAGAGGAAAGACGGCTGGCAGAGGACGCAGAGGGAAGTTGGCGCTGAGGCCCCTAGTGGCACACTCACGGTTGTACAGTGTGACAATGTGTAGGCAGTTTAGCAGCTGCCGCTTATACTCGTGGATCCTCTTCACGTGCACGTCGAACATGGAGGATGGGTTGATTTTCACCTTGTATTCCTTCTCCAGGAAGGCAGAGAACTTCAACTTGTTTTCCTGGGGAGAATAAACGAAAGGACAGTTGGACGGTTCACAGGAATGAACCCTACGAGTTCCCTGAGGCTCGACTAACGCTCTGGCTTCCCACCCAGGTGGGGGATGAGGAAGCGTGATCCTGAAAGTGTACGCACCAGGAGCGGCAGAAATGAACGGGAAACTAGATGAGAAAGCAAACCTGGAGCGAAGCAGAGGATAAGAAAAGCAGAATCAAAGGATACCAGCGAGTGTTGCATCAAGAAGACAGATGGGGGCGGCTGGGGAGAGAAGATGGAGGGATAAGACTCCAAAATGAAGGACCATTTCCGGGCCTCCAGGTCCATGGGGCGGCACAGCAGAGAGGCAGGCATTCAAGCACTCGGCGTCTCGGGATCGGTCCTCATTCTTCACCAGGCTGCCGCCTGTTTGCTTTCAAAGGTTTCAAGCAACCTGGGCCTGCTCGGCTGGGGGCCGGCTGCAGGGAGGGGCTTGGGTGCAGCTGACAGCACACCAGGTGCAGAGAAGCAAGGATCTGAACTGGCTTTCTGAGCGCTTCCCTCTGGACAAGCTTTTCCTACAGAACTCCAAGTGAAGGCTGCTCAGGGCCACTCTGGGCATCTGCACTCACCCGCCCGCCCGCCCGCTGTGTGACCTGAGGTCAGTCAGGTCCTCCTCTGAAAAGCTGAGTGAGGTGGAAGGACTTCCATGCACGCGGGCCTACCTGCTTGACCTTGGCCACATCCCTGATGAGCGCCTCGTCACTGACCAATGGCAGCAGTTTCTTCAGTTGGCTCAGGTCGGTCAGGAAACCTTCCCCGATTTTCTGGAGAATTGTAAAGGGACACGGAGTTTCTGCTCATTGAGGGTACCCGTCCTCCTGAAGACTGTCCTCCTCCTGTTCTGTCATCCACGCCTCTGCTTTCCTCCTGGGATCTGTCCCCTCCTCTGGGCTTGGCCCCAGGCCTGCGTCTCTCTCACAACACCCCACTCTCAGGAAACACCCTCACACCAGTGGCCCGACCACCACAGGCAGTCCCGCCCCAGCCCCCCCTCAGCCAGAGGCGGTTGCACTCCCAACTGTTCTGCCAGGACGCGCAAGTCCCATCAAGCTCAAATGTCCATGACAAACGCACGAACCTCCCTCGCCTCCATCACAGGCCCAAAGCCTGGGGGCCAACCACGGCCCAGCAGCTCCTCACTGCCCGAGCCCCGTCTCCTACCCATCCCCAAGGCCCTGCACCCATCCCACCAGAAACTAATGAAGGTCTTCCAGCTGCCTCCGCACCTCGACCTGGGACCTCCCCGTCCTCCCCACACTCCAGCAGGGTGGTCATTTCCCAGTGAACGTCACAGCAAGTGCGCCCGCTTAAGTCTCCCTGTTGTTAATTCAGGATAAAGAGGAAAACTCCTGGCCTCCAAATACCTTGGCCATGTCTGTGGCCTATCCTCCCTCTGCCCGCCTCACCCAGCACTGAGGCCTCACTGGCCTTCCAGACTCTGGGCCCGCGCCCTGGGCACAGGGCCTTGGAGCAGACACTCGCTACACCCGGAGCGCTGCTCCCCGCTACCTCCTCTTAACTCCAGATGGCGCTCCACTGTCCCTCTCTCAGGGGTGCCTTCTCTGACACACACAGCCCCAGACGAGCAGTGTCCCCCTGCAGGCCCTCACTGGGGGCACTGCCCCACAGTTGCCTGCTGCATCCTCGAGTTGTATACCGCCTGGCATCTAAGAGCGCTTGTTCCTTTCCTTCCTGAGTGAGCACATGAACAAGCCAGTAACTACCACATCTCCGGCTCATAAAACCTCTCAGGCCAGGCAGCCCCACCCAGGCCCCTCCCAAAGCCCAGGACCTCACTTCTGAACTGCTGTGGCCCGGGCCACTGGGCCCCAGCCCAGCCCAGACCAGCGCTCCCACAACTGGAGGCAGCAGCTGGACCCCACCCAAACCCATCCAGGAGGCACTGCTGGTCAACACACAAGGAGCAGATCGCTGCCTGCTCAGCACCCACTGGTGACTGGCCTGACGGCAGTGGGCAGGCAGCAGCCCCTGTGGACTCAGAGGCGGCAGGCTCACCTCCACGATGGTGTCAGCCAGCCCTGGGTTACACAAGAGCAGCCACCGCCGGGGCGTGATGCCGTTCGTCTTATTCTGGAACTTCTCTGGCTCCAGCTCATAAAAATCCTTAAAGCTAAAAACATAGAACACAGGCAATAGTCATACAAGCTGTGTTTTTAACAAGATGAGCAACAGAACGTGAGGACCTTTTAAGGAAATCCCCTGGAAAACACCAAAGCTCAGTTTTTCATTACCACACACTTTGAGACAGTGGCCATGCAGCACACACCTTTCAAAGCACTCCCCATCTGGCCATGTAGCGAGGGGCTAACTATAACCTTATGCACAAGTGGTTGAACCTGGCCACTTTCCAGAATGAAAACATCTCCACAACAGTGGAGAGTGCACAGGCTTTAGAGCTCAAGAAACCGGAGCTCATTTTGCTCATCTGTAAAATGGGGGCACACCCCACTGCGAAGTTTGCTGTGGGGATTAAAGACTTAACACATAAACCGTCAGGCCAGCACTGGGAACACACAGCCCCCACACGGACAGGCCTGCTCTAGGGCCCACCTGGGGCTGACGGGGTGTGCTCCGCACGTCTGGTGTGATGATGTAAGGACAGAACCCCGAGATCATGTCCTACCAAGAGGGGGACAGGAATCATGAGATCTAAGAATTCCTCCTCCCTCTCAGTGACGAGCCCAGGCCCGCCACGCCCTCACCTCCACCCTGTCCAGGCCTGGGACACTTGTCCCGAGGTGGGGTGCTGGTGGCACTCAGCCAGCAGCAGATGGCTCCAGGAGCAGAGCCTCTGCCTGGACAGACCAAGAACACAGAAAACAGGAGGAGCCACTGTGACAAGAAGGCTCGGCTCCCCAACATCACCTGCTAAGTCAGGTCCCTTGATGTCCCCAACCACCAACGAGTGTGCTTCGGGCAGTCCAGTCACTGGCCCCAGGGCAGCAGGTAATGGTGTGGAACATGGGCCGTATGCCTCAGCCACTGTGCGTATGGGTGGTTGACAGTCCCTCGAGGCAGGTCTGGGGTCAGAAAGGGGGTATGCCCCGGCCCCACTCACACTGACTGCTTCACGATCTCCGAGTGGATCCTCGCCACGCCATTGACAGCGTGGGTGCCGATCACACACAGGTGGGCCATGTTAATCCGCTTGCAGTCCCCTTCCTCGATGACAGACATTCTCCGCAGGCGGGCCACATCCCCAGGGAACAGGGCAGCCACGTGCTGTTGCCAAATTGGAGAACCATGACGGGAGGGCAGGAAGTCCCAGAGGCTCCCTGAGGGAAATTCTGTTTCCTCAAGGAAAATCCCGGGGCTGCCGCACCCCAGACCTGCACTCGAGCATCCTGGACGCCCCTCCGAGAGCCCCAAGAGTAGAGGCAGCTCCTCTCACAGGCCTCAGCCCAGGGCAGGCCCGGCCTGGCCGGAGCACTCGGCAGAGCCGCTGTCAGAGGCAGAGGGCGGGCCAGCGGAGCCGAGTAGCTGAGGACACGCCACGTAACCTACTACACAGAAAGGCGGGACTGGTTCCCCCTGTCCTTGTACCATTCTCCTCTCTCCAAGTAACAGGGAAAAGACAAATGGTGCTTTGTTTTCAAATCACCCAAAGGCTGCTCAGGACAAAGGTCTCTGGCATTCTAGGAATAGACACATCTAAACCCTGCTCGGAACTGGAACGTTTTAAAAAGACCTGAATCCACAACTCCCACATACATAGCAGGGGTCTAGGCATGGGGACTAGCCAGCAGCTCTGCCAAGTGACAGCCCCTAGACCCTAAAGTCCTCTGCTGGACAGAGGCTATTCCGTTCAAGAAGTAAAGCACTTGTCCCAGGCCAGACAATTAGATCAGAAGGACAGAGGAGGGCCCATCAGCATGGTGCCTCCCGCCACCTCCGCGTTGCTCATGACAAGAGGGGTGGCCATCACGGGTACAGCCCACCCCTGTCCCAGCAGGCTGGCGCTCACGTCCAGGTGCCTCTGGTTGATGGCGTAGATGATCTCCAGGTGCCGTGGCAGCAGCTGCTCAAACATGGACACAGGCCAGCGCTCCAGGGCCTCCGGGAGCACGGTGTGGTTGGTGTACGCACAGGTCTTCTTTGTGACTTCCCAAGCCTAGAACATTCCAGTGTTTTGTTTAGAAACAAGCAGCTCTTTTGCCAGAGGCCTAGGCAAGGGGATCGAAGGCAGACGTTCAGATCCCACCAGAAAGGGGCCCAGCCAGCCGCATGTCTCTGCTCTCTGAGAGGCCTGTCCAGAACCTTCTCAAAACCCGAAATTAAGCCCTGCGCCCTTCACTTCCCTGACATGACCCACATACTGTGCACATGCTGACGCAGTGCACACACATACCCTACCACCTGGGAATCGCCCCGATTGTTTTCGTTTGTAAATCATTTTTTATTAGTAAACGAAACGAGCCCCAACCAGTTTTCTATTTTATTTCCAATAAACTGACTTCACACCCATAGTCCGGAGATCACTGGCAAACTGTGTGGCCCGACCCTCTGCTGGCCAGGAGCAGACAGGACCTGAGTTGGGGCTGCCCAGCCCGACCCAGAAGTGCACCCCAAAACCAGAGGGGCTCTGGGTGCTATAAAATGGGGTAAAACTGCTTTATGGTTTTACAAGTTGATTTAGTTAAACTAGATCAAGAAAATCCCATTACACTAAAGAATCTAGGACCAAAACATGTCGAGTCAGGAGAAGAAAGCTATAAATATGTCAAGATATTTTCTTTAAACTTAATACTTCCAGGTTTTTAGCCATAATTCTAAGACGAGAAAATACATGTGAGAAGCTCAAAGAAGTGTCAGAATCTTTTCTTGTCTTCCAGAAAATTGCTCTTCTGTGCTTTTCCACCACTGCTTGCACTCACTGTGTGCTAGTCCCTCAGGAGAAACCCAGACCCGCTCCTGGAACGTCCTTCTCATCCCTATGGCCCTGTCTTCTCAGGAACAATACCCCTCTGTGCTCCCAAGGCCACAGGGTAGAGGCCTCCCTCAGGACGCCTCCTAGGACTAGTTGAGTACTCACGACTGTTATTGGGATAGGCTCAAAGGTCAGGGAAACATCGTCACCCCATGTGCCCAGGTCTGCAGGGGACACCGTCACCCCATGTGCCCAGGTCTATGGGGACACCGTCACCCCATGTGCCCAGGTCTGCGGGGACACCGTCACCCCATGTGCCCAGGTCTATGGGGACATCGTCACCCCATGTGCTCAGGTCTGCGGGGACACCATACCCTGCACACTCGTCCTCAGTGCTCACCTTGTCCCAGTCCACTTTCTCCACGTCCACCAGGATCCGCATGAGCTCAGGGATGGCGAGGGCCGGGTGAGTGTCATTCAGCTGGATGGCAACCTGCGGTTTACACAGGGGGATCCCTTCAATCCCCTTCCCCGTGTGGGTGCCATGGTGGTCGGCACGCATAGAACTGGGGTCCTTAGCCGCTCCCCCCACCCCAGGAAGCCTGGTCTACAGGGCAGACAGTAGGAAGCAGACAGCACCACACAGGTGCTGGCTCCAGCGTGAAAACCAACCAAAGAGCAGGGAGTAGGAACAGGGCCCGAGGGGCCCAGGGAGGGAGCAGGAGGACCCTGTGGGCTGGCTCTGCAGCCCAGTGTGCTCTGCAGCAGGTGTCCAGGAGCTGCAGCTTGTGGGTCCCTCTGAGGCCCGCGGTGGTACAGGGGGCTCTCCCTGACTCAGAATGTTCCTCCCACCTAGGTTATGTTGCTTTGTTTAGAATCACTGAACTCAGCCTGCCACACACGTCAGGCTTTGCCCACAGTAGATTTTAGTGTCCCTTGCTGCCTCGACTCCCAAGCGTGGCCCTGGTCGGGGAGGAAGGGGGCCCAGCCCCTGTCAATGAGGAGACCAAGATTAGGGGTGCTGCTGTCCTGCCCCAGCCTCTTCCCGCCCACGCCATAGCCTAGAGGAAGAAACGGAGCCGGAGAACGTCCTGTCCTTCCACATGACCTCAACCCCCAACAGACAAAGGCACCTTGTCTGGGAACGTCTCGAAACAGGTTCTCACGGGGTCCCGGCAGCCGAACTTGGAGGACTTGAAGCGGCGGATGATGTCCTGGAGGGTGGCGGCCACCACAAAGTACTCTTGCTTCAGACGGAGCTCCTTCCCCTCAAAGAACTGCAGACACAGGACAGCTCTGGCACCAACAGCTCACCCAGCAGGGCCACCACAGGCCTCAGGGGTCCCCCAAACTGCAGCACGGAGTGCTAGGCCAGGGGTCCTGCCCCAGGGACTGCAGAGATGTGCGCACAGACGAAACAATAAGAGCCCTTGAGAACCAGAGTGGTGCTGACGCCTTGACCTCACCACTCCGGGGCCCAAAGGTCAGGGGACCCGCCTCAAGGGCACAGGCAGAAGATCTTAAGCGATCTAACCTGCACGTGACCTCTAGACAAGGAGGGAGCACAAGGGCAGCAGCAGAGGGTCACGTGGCCCTGTGTGGTGTGGGGTAGGCAGGAAGGTCTAGTCCTTGTTCATAACGCCTAGCCAAGCACAAGGAATGCCACAGCCACTCAGAAATGCACTCTCCAAAGTGCGGGCATTATAAAAAGGGCTTGCACCTGAAACTCCAGCACCTGCCCCCAACCCTGGGATAGGGGGACAGAAGTACGTTTTGTCGTGCGCCTTTCAGCACCAACGCCCTTCATTACTATGTGCAGGTGTTTCTCTGATAAAACAAAACAACACGCGACCCACTGAGATAGGCAAATTCCAAGGGCTCTTGTCTAGCAATAACCAACCAACCACCAGATGCTAAATTCGGTGGTAATGGAGAATATGGCTGTGACCTTCACTCAGCACATGGTGGGCACGTGCTAAGAGCTTTTCAAATCATGAAAGTCTTGTCTCGAGATGTCACTACAAAATAGAGATTGCTGTCCCCACTTGACAGGTGGGTCATCCAACTCTTGGGGAGGCGGCATCACATGCAGAAAGAGCAGGAACCGCTGAGCTCGAGGTCTGACGGGCTCCGAGGACCCACACGCAGCCTCGTGTGGAGTCGGCTCAGACCCAGCCCTTGGGGGTGGCCAGGTATCACAGGGCAGCGCAGGTGTATGAAAGAGGCCAAATCTCCTTAAGTGTCCTCTCAGGGAGAGAGGGCAAAGGGGAGACGCCAACAGGCACGCCTGGACTCGCTGGGCTTCACCAAGGATGCCTTGCCTGTCCTCACTTCAAGGAGCCACTTCCATGGTCTCACCTGACAACCATGAGGCCAGCAAACAGGTTCCACCAGAGAGCCCAGCCTTGCAGTTGACTTTCGTCCTTGGAGGACGGCAGAGACAGGAACTAAGCCTGGGAGCTACTCACATTGTCATTTGGATACAGGACTCTGGAGATGTTCTCGGCCAGGTTCCTGTCCAGGACCGCCTCGATGTAGCCGCCCACGTTAACTAGGAGCAGAATGGTGAGGTCAGGACCCGCAGCCTTACCTTGAGACTCCCTGTGTACCCTTACATTGCGGTTCCTCACTCAGTTCCCTCAGCAGTCTGAGGACAAGCGCTCCAGAACAGAAGGCGCCCCCAGAGTGACTGGTTTGCTCGGCCGCACACCCTACCCCTTAGAGCTGCGCTGGGAACCATGCATCCCCGACACCCTGCAGTGCCCCAGGCGCCCCGCTCTGTCCTGAGAACATGGGGCCCACGAGTGCGGACTTGGCCTCTGAGCCTTCCCTGTGCAGCCCTGGTGCTCATGAGGAACCGGCCCCCAGCCCTCCCACAGCAGAGGAGCCATGTGGTCTCTGCAGCAGTGAGAGTGCAGAGACGGGACAAGAGTGCATGGAGCGAGCTGGGGACAAGCCACCCGGGGACAAGCCAGCAGAACACACAGTCGTGGAGCTTGAAGTCGTTGGGCGCCTTGGCGGACCACAGCCTCATGGTATTGACAGTGTTGTTCTTGTAGCCTGGCACTGGCGTATCGTAGGGCATGGCCAGCACCACCTGGTCGAGGAAGAGACGGTCAGGATCGAGTCAACCAGAGACAGTCCCCAGTCCTGGGGCGCGCTGGGGGGGGCAGCTCCAGCCTTGCAGGAAGCAGAGTTCCACCTCCCTGTTGGTGGCCCGCCTACTCACCCTCCTTCGGCTTTTCTCCTTCTGCCCAAAACACACTCAACTCACCCTGTGCCTGGCCGCAGTCCTAACCCCCTCCCACCCTGTCGCTCACCTGTGCCACAGCCCCAGTTCATGGACGTCCTGAGCTAGGAACACACAGCCTTGCTGGCAAGCCCCTGACCACACTCCCAGCGTCACACTGTCTTTCTAGCTTTACCTTCTGCGATACTGGCATCGCAGACTTAAGAATGCCTCCTCAGCTCCTCGAGGGGCTGCTGTGTTCACCTGGCTTGTGCTCCCTGAGCAGCCACTCCTCACGTCCTCGTCCTCTGCCCTCCACACCTTCCCTCTTCTCACTCCACTTTGCCTGAGCAATGTCAGGACTCAGCTAACTCCTGCCAACAGACGACTTCCACCTCTGTCCTCCACTTCCCAGTGTCTGCAGCCAGGCTTCTGTCGGATGCCTTGACCTCTAACCCTCAGTGAAACCAACCAGCCCACACACTCCACTCCTGAAAACACGGGACCTGCTCTCCCACCACGGGGCCTGCATGCTCCTTCCCAATTCCCATCTGTCCAAAAGCACCCGCTTTGCTCTTGCCAAGCACAGAAGCACACAAGCCTCAAGGCCACTTCCAGCCCTCGGCCTCTCTGATGGGGTTCCTCACACTCGGGCAGGCTTATGGTGGCCCCGAGCGCAACTGTGCAACTTGACAAGATGAAGTCAGCTCTGACAGGCACAGGGCACTGTGTAACGGCATCATCAAGTTCAAGCCCAGTATCATCTTTCCCTTCCTTTGTCCTCTCAGCCCTTACCTCTGCCCCCGGCTCCTCGCCCCCCATGGCCTTGTCCACACCAGCAACAAGCCCTGCAAAGCATCTCCAACCCCCTTCCTCCCTCTCCACGGCCAGCCCTCTGGGTCAAGGCCCTCATCATACCCTGTCTGGGATGCCCCAGCAGCCTCCAGGCCTCCTTACCCACAGGGACACGTTCATCTTCTACAAGCACACACACTTAGAAAACCAGGTGCTCTGCTCTGCTTTTTCAAATTAACTACTACTTATTATGGCATCTGAGGCTTCCACAACGTGGCTCCAGCCAGCCCCAGCCCTACGTGTCCTTAAAACTTATGTTGCAGAAAATCTGGACGACTCATTTGCGCATGTCTGCGACTTCCCCAGTCTCCCAGGCTCACTCACTTCTGCTCATCCTATCTATACCATTAGACAACTAAGTCTCACTCTTTACAACTACCCCTCTTCTCATGAAGCCTCTCTCCTGCTAGCCTCCTCCACCCTCTAAAGCCATTGAGATGTGCACTCTCTGCTGTCTCTGAGCCCGGACTGGACTCTCCGTGGTTGCACCCCACTATGGCTGGCACTACATTCAGCCAAGCACTCCGTGCTCTTGTCCTGGCCCCCTCATCAGGGCACAACTGGCGGGGAGGGCCTGTGCCCCATGCCGGGACATCCACCTAGGCCTCCCCACATGCTCAGGGTTCTGATAGCTCAGAGTAACCCGTGGTCTGCACCCGGGAGACACTACTGAGGTCCATGGGCCACACGTGGGACCAGGAGCAAGTGGCCAGGGAGCATGTCGAGTGCCTGCTCTCCGGAGATGCTGTGGGGCTCTTCACGTCCCCCAGGGGATCAATGCCCTGTCCCTGTCACAATGCTGGCCTGCTTGCCAGCCTGTGGCAACAGCTGCTGGTCTCCACCCCAACACAGCTCCTGTTAAACCACAAAGAGTGTGGCCTCACATTCACCATTTCCTGCTGTCTGGACAGCTCCTGATGAAGTGTAAGAGGAGCAGAGAGCGTCCCAGGCTTGGACCTCAAGTTAGGTCCCCCAGGGGAGCAGCACGCCTCCCACTCCCAAAGGGAAGCTGATGCGACAACGAAACACAAGCAGTCACCATCCTCAGCCCCACGCTTCCCGGAAACGCGCTGGTCGGATACCTGCGTGTCCAGCCACCTCACGCCCTCGGGGGTGTGCTCCACTCTCCCGTAGAAGTGCACAGGAAGCATGTACTCGGGCCGGGCTTTCTCCCAGGGGTTGCCGTAGCGCAGCCAGTCATCAGCCTCCTCCACCTAGAAAGGGGCCAGCAGCGAGGTCAGCTCTCAGGAAGGAGGAGACAGTCTTGGGCACTGGGCTGACCCTGTCCTGGCCCACACTGGCCACACTGTCAAGATGATGCTGCCGAGCACTGAAACCAAACTGCAGCCTCTGTACGATGCAAAGATTTCAATTCCAGTCAAGGCCATGTGGTTAAAAATTAACACTTTGGGCTATTAAAGAAACAAACTCATAAAATTCAGAAAAATGCATCAACGTAAAAAGACACTAAGAATCAGCTGAATTCAGCAATAAAAACGAATGAAGTCCTGATGCAGGCTACAACATGAATGAACCTTGAAAACATTATGCTGAGTCAAAGAACTGTGTAATTCCATTTATATGAAATGTGTAGAACTGCCAAACCCATAGAGACAGAAAGCAGAGCAACGGTCTTCAGACACAGGGGTGTGACTACAATTCCGTGTTTTTCTATGGGGTGATGAAAACATTCTGGAAATAGGTAGTGGTGATGGTTACCCAACTTTGTGGATACATTAAAAACCACCTGCTATGTCAAAAAAGCTGCTATTTAAAAAAAAAAGAAAGAATCCCTGGAAGCCCGCTGCTTTGAAACGACACCACAACGTGTGGGGCCAGGGCCGAGCTGCCCCTGGGAGCGCCTGCAACAGGGGCACCCGCTCACCTGCCGGAAGACACCGCCTTTCCTCTAAGCCTTCCTCAAGGCAGCTTATTTTCCAAAAACTGCACCCAGTGGCATCCAAAATTAGTAAATTTTGTAATTTACTAGTAAATTTTGTTTTTATTTATTTATTTATTTATTTTTTCCCCCAAAGCCCCAGTAGATAGTTGTGTGTCATAGCTGCACATCCTTCTAGTTGCTGTACGTGGGACGCGGCCTCAGCATGGCAGGAGAAGCGGTGCGTCGGTGCGCGCCCGGGATCCAAACCTGGGCCGCCAGCAGCGGAGCACACGCACTTAACCACTAAGCCACGGGGCCGGCCCAACTAGTAAATTTTGTTTTAATAGTAAAAACAAAAAACACTCCACCAACAAAATACCAAGTCATCCACAGGCTCTGCCGGTGCTGTGAGTAGACGCATTTGGGGGAGCTGCTTTTCCCTCCACGCTGCGGGATTTATTCTGCTTACAAGCCATGGAATAAATTAACTTGGTAGGGCACTGAATGAAGAATTATAAATACAAATTAACTAAAACTTCAATGAGGTCAAGTCTTTTCTTCCATCTTAATAAACAACCTCATGTATGCTACTCGGAGGGTTTTTTAATGGTCCTCACATAGCAGCAGCAGGTCACTAGAGAGAGCACAGCATTTGTAATGTGGGAAGGTGACATGGCTGAGGCTACAGCTCTGACAGGCACCTCTCCAGCTCCTCCTGGCTGCCACTGGGTGCGGCAGATGCTCCTCACGGGACCAGCCCTGCCATTGACCTGGTGGCACGGCCCGTACATCAGTGAGATTCCCTCACACCACAGCCTGGCCATCTCCCGCACAGTAAGTGGCTCTATGAGTCACCTGCAGAAGCAGCATCTTCCCAAATACAAGAGACATCGGGGTCTCCCCTCTGGAGCCCCTGTCCCTGACAAGCAGGTTGGCCTGTGGCCCCCATCGGCCACAACGCTGCTGTGCAACCACTGCCCATGCTAACTTCTGCTACAGCTAAACTCCATTAAAACGATTCCAGCTGACCGGCTCCCAGGAAAACAGGGTGGGAGGAGGGCAAGTTCACCACTCACCTGTCATCTGAGGACTGTCTTTACACTGTGAGGCAAGATGGCAAGAGGTAGAGGACCGAGGAACCAGAAGAAAGAAATGTCTGTGGTCAAACAAACAGAAAACAATACCAAACACCTTCCCGCTCTAAACCACGACAACAACCAGGCGAGGAGGAGCCTCCGAGTTTCTGTCTTATAAACACACACATTAACGGACTATAAGAGCCAGAATGGGTCCAAGAACACAAGTGCACGAGGGTGGAGTACGTCCAACACACACACACACAGAAGTGTGAATGAAATCACTGGAAGGCACCAGGAGGAAAGCTGTGTTTCTCTTCTTCAGGTTGGAGAGAGTATGTCTATAAATTAAGCAATGGATACAAATCTGTTTTAAGTTTTCTTTTATTTTTAGCCATACTTTTCTTTGCCAACTTTTTATTATGAGCATTTTCAAACACACAGAAATGTCAGAATTGCCAGTGAACACCCACATCCACCACCTAGGTTCTAGAACTGTTAACATTTGCCATACTTGGGCTGGCCCCGTGGCTTAGCGGTTGGGTGCTCGCGCTCCGCTGCTGGCGGCCCGGGTGCAGATCCCGGGCGCGCACCAACGCACAGCTTCTCCAGCCATGCTGAGGCCGCGTCCCACATGCAGCAGCAGGAAGGATGTGCAGCTATGACATACAGCTATCTACTGTGGCTTTGGGGGTAAAAAAATAAATAAACAAAATCTTTAAAAAAAAAAAAACATTTGCCATACTTGATTGATCGCACATCCATCCATAGATCCAGTAAAGTTTCGAGAATTTCAAAGTAAGCTGCTGACATCTGCACACTCCTCCACTGAACACACCAACATGCAGTCACTAATCACAGTTGTGTGTTTACTTGTAGGTTAGGATGTATATGATGAAATGTATAAACTGAAAGGTACCACTGAGGAGTTCTGACAAGTGCACACAACCATGTGACCCAAGTCCCATCAGGACACAGGACACTTCATCACCCCCGTCGGCACCTTATCATGTAGACTCTGCTACCCGCATATAAACTTCTTGATCCTAACCCAGCCCTGCTTTACCTGTGACTTTGACATCCCAAATTACATTCAATAAACTATTCTCCATCCAAGTAGAATAGTTTTGTCTTTCACTTTGAGGTTCCATGAGAGAAGCAGCTGCCGACCTGTGGAGGGTGCTCAGAATGTATTTGGAGATTCCCTTTGTACCAACGAGGTCTTGACCGCCTTACTTAGCTGTCTGCTGCTTTAGAACCAGGCTCACTCTTCCTAAGGGCCACTTTGCTTTGCAGAGTCCATCCTCTCAACCCACAGGAGGCCGTCCCTTCCATGGTATCAGGGAGTGAAGACAAACGGTGGAAACAAAAACTACAATAACTGTTTTTCCTACTACTCCAGGTCAACTTTCCCACTGGGGGTGAACCAGAGAGGGCCACCTTCACTCTGCACTGAGGTGTCACAGGAAACCAGCACACAGACCACGGCGTCCTCACACCTTGGCGTCTCCTGTAAGGCCCAGCCCACCAGACCTCCCCGCCGCCACGCAGAAGCTGATGCAGTGAGCTTGCACGAGAGCTCCTGGCCTCGTCCTGACCTGCCTCACCTCCGCTCTGCCTGGGACTGGCATGCAGTCTCTCCAGGGAGGCGGGTAAAGTAGAAAAAGCCAACCTGGTAAGTGTCCCTGTCCATTTTCTCGTGTGAACGAGAGCTGCAAATGAGTGAAGGAACCAAACCTTACCCACCTGCCAGCCGTTGACAATCTTCTGGTTAAAAATCCCAAACTCATAGCGGATTCCATAGCCGTATGCTGCCAGGCCCAAGGTGGCCATTGAGTCAAGGAAGCAGGCTGAAAATTCCAAACACAAAGAACTTCTTGAGATCAAGGACAGCAGATTCGAGGCCCACCAGAAGCAACACCCAGACACCCAAGTTAAGCAGGTGACGAGAGGCCGGCCTCCAGGGCACCAGTGGTTTAGTGGGGACCAGTCAGCCTCAGGTTCAAGAGAAGGAAAACTGAACTCCCCTTCTCACCCCCCGCAGCTTGGGAGCCTGGGGCTGTGCCAAGAAGATATCAACGCGGGGGCTATTTGGGGGGTGTGGGAAGAGCAGAAGGGAAGAGGTAAAGAATCCCACAGAAAATACCCTCAAACTCGGCACGTCTCTAAACGCACTGTCCCCCCACTACCAACCTTCTCTTAGAGAGGCCCCCTCAGGCTGAAGGCCTGCCCCTCCCCACACACATTCTACTTACAGTCCAAGCTACCTGGAGAGTAGGACAACATCACAAAATTATCTCCCCCCACGCTAGTGAAGAAGGCACAAAAGCCGGGGCTGGGAATGGGCATTTCACAGTCCACAACTCCAAACACCCAAGGCCAAAGTGCCACCAGGCCCCCCGCAAGGTGGCTGGAGCAGCATGCCACCAATTTGAGCCTTGTTCCAATCAAAATGTCTTGAGAAAAAACCCACAATGTATTGAATAAAGATCCAGAAGACAGCTTATTAAACTTCTGGATTAAAAAGAATAGAAAAGCAGAAAAAACTCCACACGAAACACCAGCAAATAAAATACATGCCCAACTCAGCAAAAGTGCACAGAGCCGTGGCACAGGCCCTCTGCTGAGGGGGAAGAAGATACACGAGTGTCAGATCTGGGCTCTGGTTTTGAGGAGATCATTCCCGCAGGAGGGACACACAGCATATCAGGCTATGGCAGGCTGGGAGTGCCCCTGGTCTGCACAGGTGAGAGGAATCCGCAGAACCAGAGGGGCCCAAGAGGAGATGCCAGCACACAGTTCACAGGGAAGGCCAATGAGTGGCACTGCAGACATGGCAGGAAAGGTGCCTGAGAAGTCGACAGGAATCAGATGGCGAAAGGCCTGAGAATGCCTGAAGGGAGGCGGATGCCCATGGGCGGGGGTGGGACAGCCCGCTGACGGGCACCTCCTTCAAGCGAGAGGTTAGCTGAGGCAGCCACTCCAGTGAGGCAGACCAAGGGGTCTTCTAGACCCCTCGAGCTTAGGAAAACAGGTTCTGTTTTTACCGACTGAGAAAGGACAAGATGGGAAGACGACCACGATCAACAGAACGTCATCGGGGGTGAAGGGGACTGCAGGGGACTGAAGCCCTAGGGGCTCATGGTTCACTGGGGCTCCCTCAGGTCTGCACTCTGCCGCTGGCCTGGACTCCACGATGTGGTCTGCAGGGGAGTAAGCTACAGCCTAACATGTTTGGTATGATCTCAGCTTCGTAAACCAGAACAGAGCCCTGCATCTGAGGCAGGATGCACAGGACACACATAGGCTTTCACACTAGGGGGAGGTGAGGCAGGCCTTGAGAAGTGTTTCTTTATATAGATCCATGTGTTATTTTGTTTGAGAGAAACACATGCTACATTTATAATTTCTGAAGAATTTAACTTAAAATTTGAAAACATACACGTATACCCCACGGACAAATTTTAGTGTGTGCTCCCTTTACAAAATGACAATTCCATTAAGGGGCAGTGATGCGAAGCGGCAGGGCCCAAGCCCACCCTCCCAGGGACTCTCCACACACCAGGGCAGCACAAAACTTGACTTACTTCTGCCCCAGAAACACTGTGCCCACAAAGCGGACCGCCAAATCAAATTCACCATGACTGCTACTGCCACTTCCGTGTGCTTAACCCAGCTCCCTCTCCCCAAAAAGCCCAGCAAAGTAATTAAAACAGAAAAAAGCAGAACAAAACTAAGCATGCTCAGAGTGGTCCAAGACAGCAATATACTCAAAAAGAATGGCTCTGTTACTTCAGGGCCATTTTCCTGTCTACTGTAGGAAAGCAGGACTATCTTGCTGTAAGCTGGGCTACATTCACAAACTCTGTGTGTGTCTGTGTGTACCTGTGTCTATGTCTGTGTTTCTATCCATCTGTCTTTCTCCCAATTACTGACTTTTGGATGGTGCGAGTGCTTGGCATATTGGAAACTCCTCCTAGCACCAGTTACCCAACACTGGCAAGCCTGGTCTTCGTGATAATTATGAAATGCCCCTTGTGAAAGAGAACAGATATTTTTTATTTTTTTTTCCACTGGTGGCAAAGATTTCAACCTGGAGAACACACTCTCCCATCCACTCTCAGGGACCTATTCACCCCAACCGACCAGCATCGGGAACACAGCTGAGCTCGGCCTCACTAGGTGACCACCGACAAGGCACCAGGTCAGGAAAGACCTTGTCCTAGACAGACGCCTGGGGTTACCTGCCAGCCTCCCCAAGCCTCCATTCCCAAGGCCAGCATCCTCTTCTATTTCCTCCAGTTCTTCCAAGTCCAACCCCAACTGTGAATAAAAACACAGGTCACATTTTCATATCACTTAATATTTTCCCTCAAGCAACAAGTGGAAAGATACTTAAATCTTGTGAGCTTATATCAAAGGTTAGAGTCTGCTTTGTTTTAGACTTGAAAATCCAATGTTAAAATCTGGTGTTAAATCAATGCACGAAAATGAAAGTTTCCAGGTATTTTAAAAGGTGCCAAACTACTTAAGAATTAACAGCCAAAATGTGACATAGTTTAATAGCTAGAGATATTTATTGCCAGGTTATTAACCTACTTACAGTGGACAGATGATAACATGTATCCTAAAAATTCTGAAACCAACGGTTTCAGTAATTGTCTAATTTCACCTGGTCTAATGATATTTATGTGACCTCTTTTTAAACCAAAATCTAAAAGCACTTTCACCATGGCATTCCAAATGCATTCAAACAATCTTATGAAACAGATATGGCACATAAAAATCAGAGAGAGAGCAACAAAGTCATAACTCCTTCACTTGACTTAAAACCATTCCAGAATGCAGATCTTTAGGCTCTCAGTTATGATAGACAGATAACTGTTCTATTAATCTGTCTTTAGTGTATTAAACTTGACAAATTGTTCACATTAATTATCTTAATCAGTGGTTTTTAAACTTTCTGGTTTTAGGAGGACCCAAAAAGCCGTTGTTTATTGGGATTATATCTATCAATATTTATCAAATTATAAATTAAAATGGAGAAACGTTTTTTTAAAGTATATATGAATTCATTTTAAAATAAAAATAGGGCCGGTCCTGTGGCTTAGTGGTTAAGTGCACGCGCTCCGCTACTGGTGGCCCAGGTTCGGATCCTGGGCACGCACTGACACACCGCTTGTCTGGCCATGCTGAGGTGGCGTCCCACATACAGCAACTGGAAGGATGTGCAACTATGATATACAACTATCTACTGGGGCTTTGGGGAGAAAAAGAGAAAAAAGAAAAGGAGGAGGATTGACATGGATGCTAGCTCAGGGCTGATCTTTCTCACAAAAAAATAAATAAAAATAAATAGGGCTGGCCTCGTGGCTTAGTGGTTAAGTGCGCGCGCTCTGCTACTGGCGGCCCGGGTTCGGATCCCGGGCGCGCACCGAGGCACCGCTTCTCCGACCACACTGAGGCCGTGTCCCACATACAGCAACTAGAAGGATGTGTAACTACGACATACAACTATCTAGTGGGGCTTTGGGGGACAAAAAGGAGGAGGATTGGCAATAGATGTTAGCTCAGAGCCGGTCTTCCTCAGCAAAAAGAAGTGGATTAGCATGGATGTTAGCTCAGGGCTGATCTTCCTCACAAAAATAAATAAATGAATAAATAAAAATAAACCCATTATATGTTAACATAACACAGTTTAATGAAAAACTACATTTTTTAAAACAAAAAAAAAACTTTACTGAGAAGAGTGGCAGTGTTTTCTATTTTTACAAATCTCTTTCCTTGGTTTCAACCTGTTGATTACATACAGCCTCTGGAAAACTCCACCGCATACGCGTGCGAGAACGACCTAGCAGACCCCAGCAAAGGTCTCAGGGGCCCCGGCCATCTCCAGACCACACTGTGAGAATCTGATAAATTACAAAGGGTGGAAGAAAAGTTGTGAGAAAATGAAAACATCAAAGTCCTAAATGAATGGTTTAGTGTCTATTAAGTAAATTGAATGGTATTAACACATAATAATCTGATTCAGAGTAAAATTTCAAAATATTGACTTTATTCCCATAGCAATTTCAAAGAGTGTATTCCACCAAAAATATTTTGGGTGAGTGTGTGCCAGGGGCAGAATTTACCCAATAATACATTACTGGCTTGAAGTTAAGAAATATGTTTACAACGTTTTCCAAACTTATCTGACCATGGAACCTCTTATTCACGAAACATCTATTAAACTCAGAGACCAGTAAACTAAATAAAGACAGGCTAAGAGTAGATATGGAAAGATGTTTTGTTCGTTTAAGCTTTTACTTTGAATGTTATAGGCACACACAGCCTAGTAGCGCGAATTTTGCCTTGAGTTTGAAAGTGTTCAATACAGACACAAAAAGTAGCTAATTGATAGACCCTAAAACCTTGCTAAAGTGGACTTCTGAACTGAAGACAGAAAAAGAGCATAACAGAGCACTCTTAACAACCTGTTTTTTATTGAGATATAATTCACATACCATAAAATTCACCCTTTAAAAGTGAACAACTTAATAGTTTTTAGCATATTCATCAAGTTGTGCAACCATCACCACTGTCCAATTCCAGACCTTCATCACCCCAAAAAGAAACTTCACACTCATTAGCAGTTACTCCCTATTTTCTCCTTCCCTCAGGCCCCGACAATCACTTTTCTACTTTCTGTCTCTATAAATTTGCCTATTCTGGACATTTCATAGAAATGGAAACATACAATATGTGGCTTTTTGTATCTGGCTTCTTTCAACTAGCATAATGTGTTCAAGGTTCACCCATGTCGCAGCCCGCATCAGTACTGCATTCCTTTTTATCACTGTATGGCTCTACCACATTTTGTTTATTCATTCATCAGTTGATGGTCATTTGGGTTATTTCTACTTTTTGGCTTTTGCGTAGACTTTTCTTCAATTTATCTATTTTTTCTTTTATTCCTTGTGCTTTTGGTGTCATTTTTAAGAATCCATTGCCAAATCATGAAGATTTACCCCTATATAGTCTTCTAAGAGTTCTATGGTTTTAGCTCTTATATTTAGGTTGTTGATCCATTTTGAGTCAATTTTTATATGTGGTGTGAGGTAGGGCTCCAATTTCATTCATTTGCATGTGGAGATCCAAGTGCTCTAGCATCATTTATTGAAAAGACTGTTCTTTCTCCACTGAACTGTTTTGGTATTCTTTTCCTTTTAAAAAATCAATTGACCATACAGGACACCAAAAGCACAGGTAACAAAAGAAAAAATAGATAAACTGAACTTCATGAAAATTAAAAACTTTTGTGCATCAAAGGACACTATCAACAGAGTGAAAAGAAACCTACGGAATGGGAGAAAATATTTGCAAATCACATATCTGATAAGGGATTAATATCCAGAATAGACAGAGAATTCCTAAAACAACAACGATAAAAAACAAACAACCCAATTCAAAAACAGGCAAAGACGTTAAATAGGCATGTCTCCAAAAGAAGATATATAAATGGCCAATAAGCACAAGAAAAGATGCTCAACATCACTAATCATTAGGGAAATGCTAACTAAAATCACAGTGAGATACTATCTCACACCCTTTAGAATGGCTACTATCAAAAAAAAAAAAAAGAAAACGACAAGTGATGGTGAGGATGTGGAGAAACTGGACCCCTTGTGCACTCGGTGGGTAAGTAAAATGGTGGAGCCATTGTGGAAAACAGTATGGTGGTTCCTCAAAAAGTTAAACATAAAATTACCATATGATCCAGCAATTCCACTTATAGGTTTAAACCCAAAAGAACTGAAAGCAGGGTCTGGAAGAGATATTTGTACACTCATGTTTATAACAGCATTATTTACAATAGCTAAAAGGTGGAAGCAACCCAAGTGTTCACCAACAGATGAATAAATAAGCAAAATGTGGTATATACATACAATGGAATATTATTCATCAGCCTGAAAAAGGAAGAAGATTCTGACATATGCTGCAGCATGGATGAACCTTCAAGATATTAAACCAGTCACAAAAAGACAAATATTGCATGATTTCACTTATATGAGGCACCTAGAGTATCAAATTCATAGACAGAAAGTAGAACAGTGGTTGTCAGGGGCTGGAGGGGGATAAGAATTGGGAGTTAGTTTTTATTGGATATAGAGTCTCAGTTTGGTAGGATGAAGAGAGTTCTGGAGATGGACGGTGGTGATGGTTGCACAACTTAATACCAGTGATCTATACTTAAAAATGGTAAAGATGGTAAATTTATGTTATGTGTATTTTACCACAATTTTTTTAAATTGGTAAAAAAATCACAGGGCCAGCCTGGCAGCATAGTGGTTGAGTTTGGTGTGCTCCACTTCGGCAGCCCGGGGCTCGTGAGTTCGGATCCTGGGTGCAGACCTACACCACTCATCAAGCCATGCTGTGGCTGTGTCCCACATACAAGATAAAGATGGGCACACATGTTGGCTCAGGGCTAATCTTCTTCAAGCAAAAAAGAGGAGGACTGGCAACAGGTGTTAGCTCAGGACCAATCTTCCTCACCAAAAAAAAAAAGGGGGGGGAATCAATTGACTATAAACGTGAGGATTTATTTTTGGACTCCCAATTCTATTCCACTGATCTATATGTCTATCCTTCTGCCAGTACCACAGAGTCTTGATGACTGTAGCTTTGTAGTGAGTTTTGAAAGTGGGAAGTGTGAGTCCTCCCACTTTATTCCTCTTTTTCAAGATTGTTTTAATTATTGCTGGTCTGTTGCTTTTCCATCTGGATTTTAGGATCGGCTTGTCAATCTCTGCAAAGAAGCCAACTGGAATTTTAGTGGGGATTACACTGAATCTGTAGAACAATTTGGAGAGTACTGCCATGTTAACATTAAGTCTTGCAAGCTATTAACATGGAATGTCTTTCCATTTTTAGGTTTTCTTTAATTTCTTTCAACAATATTTTATAATTTTCAAATATAAATTTGCACCCCTTTTGGAAATTTATTTCTAAGTATTTTATTGTTTTTGATGCTATTTTAAGTGGAATTGTTTTCTTTTCTTTTCTTTTTTTTTTTTGTGAGGAAGATCAGCCGTGAGCTAACATCCATGCCAATCCTCCTCGTTTTGCTGAGGAAGACCGGCCCTGAACTAACATCTATTGCCAATCCTCTTCCTTTTTTTTCCCCTTTTCTCCCCAAAGCCCCAGCAGACAGTTGTATTTCACAGTTGCACATCCCTCTAGTTGCTGTAAGTGGGACGCCGCCTCAGCATGGCTGGACAAGCGGTGCGTCGGTGTGCGCCCAGGATCCAAACCCAGGCCACCAGTAGCAGAGCGTGCGCACTTAACTGCTAAGCCACGGGGCCGGCCCCTGGAATTGTTTTCTTAACTTTTTTGGATTGTTCATTGCAAGCATCTAAACACACAGCTGATTTCTGTACATTGATGTGTCTGCAAACTGGCTGCACTGTCATTTGTTCTAATATATTTTTACTGGATTCCTTAGGATTTTCTAGATCATGTCATCTGCAGATAGAGATAGTTTTCCTTCTTCTCTAATCTGGATGCCTCCTAATTCGTCTTCTTGCCTAAATACTCTGACTAGCACCATCAGTACAATGTTGAGTAGAAGTGGTGAGAATGACACCCTTGCGACAAAGCAGCCGGTTAAACCCCAGCTGGGGACGCAATCAGTCAAATGCAGATGGCAGGACACTCCACTGGACAAACCTAGTTTTCAACAAATAAACTGCAAGGCAGAAAAATAAGAGAGAGGAGAAGCCTATAGATTAAGAGAGATTTAAGAGACATATCAATCGGGCCGGCCCCGTGGCTTGGCGGTTAAGTGCGCGCGCTCTGCTGCAGGCGGCCCGGGTTCAGATCCCGGGTGCGCACCGACGCACCGCTTCTCCGGCCATGCTGAGGCCGTGTCCCACATACAGTAACTAGAAGCATGTGCAGCTATGACATACAACTATCTACTGGAGCTTTGGGGGAAAAAATAAATAAATAAAATTATAAAAAAAAAAAGACATATCAATCAAATGCAACTTAGTTTCTGAACATACTGTTGAAAAATTATAAGGCAATCAGAGAAATTTGTGCACTGTCTGAAAAACTGATACTAAAGAGCTATCAATATTTTAGGGGTCATAATTGTATGACCCTGTCTTTTAGAGATACCTGCTGAAATACGCAGAAATGAAATATTATGCTATCTGATACTGGCTTAAACAATCTGGGCATGGTAGGGTGTGAGTGGGACAAGACTGGCCATGAGTGGAGTGTGGCAACTGGGGAAGCCAGCTAAGGGGTGTGTGGGAAAAGTTCAGGCGAACAGTCACTCCATTTTTGTACATATTTAAAATTTTCGATAATGAAAACACTTTTAAATGTGTCCTTGATAGCTCAATCAGGAGACAGCGGCTGCTTCTGAAGTCCTGGCTTCCGGTAAGTGGCTCCCTGGTACTCCTCCCCACCTGTGAGGCAGCGGGTCCTGTTTTATGTCGGACATCACGTCATCAGTGTGGGCTGGGGAGGAGGCCCGTCCAAGCCCTGCATCCCCGTTTTGTTTCCCCTCAGAGCATCTGGACTCTGCTTCACAATTAGAAGGGCCCAGCAATGTGTGCCTAGAGACACTAAAGCTTCCACCATCATAAAAACCTTTCAAACGCAAGATTAATTAAAAGCTATACAGCCAGGGAGATACCACTTTTAAGGGGAAAACAATACAATGTTTAAAAAGATATATGCTTCCCTGTATTTTCTAAATCCCTACAATTAACACATTATTTGTGTAATAAAATTTATAAACAAATATTGCATATCTACAGTATAAACACTCCGTAAAATCTTTACTATCTGTAAGAACTATATAAAGAGAAAATGTTTTGAAAAAGAAAACATTTTATACAACTGTCAATTGCATTGAAGATCTAAGTCACTGTATGTTCTGTAGTCCTTACAGACATGTTCTAACATTCATGTTCAGTAAATGGACATGTTCAGTAAACGACAAATCACCTGCCACGATACTCTCTATCTTTTTAGATAACTTTGAGCATAAGATTCCTATTTGGAGGAGTCAAACTTTTGTTCCAAAGTTTTATTGTGCCAAGTGAAATCGCCTGCCGCAGACACTCCTTGTCACTGAGTCCTGGAAGGGAGACAGGAGCCCCGCAATGCTGGGCTGACAGTGGTGTGAGGCTCACACCACAGCGCCTCCAACAAGGCCCCCAGAGCGCCTACCCCACCAAAGAAAACCGAACAAAAGCAGACCAGTGAAGGTGCTGGGAGGAGGGACGACTCTGGTGAGGACCCTTCTATGTACTGCAAAAGGGCAGGAGCGCTGCATGTTCACATCCTGGCAACTCAGACTGAGCGTCCTGGTGGTGGCGGAGAAAGACGGCATCCAGGGAGAGGGGACAGACACAGAAAACAGGCGACCAATTCCAGCTCCGCTTTAAAACTGCAAATGAACTGTGAAAGGCCTCCAAGTGAATAACTTAATGAAGAACCCTTAAGCAAAGGCAGCTTCTATTCTGATTAGGGAGAAAGGGCAACTTCATAAGTAGAGGGTAGGATGTGTGCAAGAGGTTATCTTAGGGGTAGGGGAGAGAAACCGGAGAGAGGTTACCAGTTCAATAAAGCAAGGAAAACTAGGACAATACCAGCCACTTCTGCCACAATCTGCCCTTGGGGTGGGGGTGAGGAGTACAATGGTTTCCAGAAGCCTCCAAACCTTAGCAGCACAATGCAACCCAGTCCTTGAACCCCAGAGTATTAGCTTCCTGTCCAATTCTTGCTTTCTCCCCTTGAGAAAGAGGAGCGTTGCCCATGAACTCATCCTCCCCCACGTGGCGTAGAATACACCATACGACATCTCCCAGGTCCAGATGGCTGCAAATCTTACCATCAGTGCTCGCCTCTGTGGGGCCTGGATTAAAAACCTCAGTGCACCATTAGGCTACCCAGCAGCTGGCCCCAAGGACCCCTACCTGATAGATGGCTTCGTCACAAGCATTCTGAAGGCCCAGGTTCACCATCGTGTTCTGCAGTGTACGGCCCATGTAGAATTCCAGGGAAAGATAATAGATGCGCTGAGAAAGCAGAAGAAAGCATCTTAGATTTCTTGCTCTGTCCCCACGCACAAGGCAGAGTACAGTGATGAGTGGACCCATAAGAGCACGTGCTCAGGGGCTTCACTTACGTTACCCTGCACTTGCCTGCAAATCCCCAAATGGGCTCACTCCTTCACCGTGGCCATCCTCAGCTTTCCAAGGGCAGCCCACCAGGGGACCCTTCTAAAGCAAAGCCTCTGTTCATCGCCCTTCTGGAGTCCTCAGGGGATATAAACCAACCTCCCCCTGCTGGTGGGGATCAAGGCTCCCAGAACCGGACATAGCCTGATCTGGGCTTAGCTGGGCCGGTCCCCAGCCATGCACCCTTGAGCAAGTGACCTCTTCACATCTGTAACACAGGATAAAACAGCCCTGTAAGGGGGGAATATTTTCAAGTATTAACAGCTTCTGACACCCACCTTAAGTACTCAATAAACAGCACAGTCAACACACTGGGATGGATGGGAGGACGCATCCATTGCTACCAGGCAGCAGTCTGGTTTCTGCCTGCTGTTTGTTTGCTGGTTTTGGGGATTGAGATATGCAACAGCTCCGTGTAAATGAGGACGACGATCAGCAACACTTACTGGGCACCAAGGAGGGTTCTGAGTGCTTCCCTTGCCTGGTACCATTCACTCCTCACAGCCCCCCATGGGCAGGGATGGTGGTGGCTGACGGCTCTGAGTCCTGCTCTTACACAGGACTCCGTGCTGCCTCCTACTGTGCCATCAAAAGTAAGGTCTGGGAAAACTGTGCAGGCAAGAAGGGAGAAATCTTCCAATTAATAAACGTAGAAGGAATGAGAGGAACAGAAAATCACCACAGGAACATCACGGGAGTAACTGCTGCTGACGACAGCCAGTGCGAACACTGAACTCAGTGGGCACAGCTCTGAGGACTGACAGGACACCTGCACAGCTTCCAAGTGCCTCCCCCAGACACTTATTAAATGCCATGGTGGTTCTAACAAACATCCCCAAATTCTCTGATAGCCTTCACTCCCGGAGGTGGTGCTCAACTCCCCTCCCCTTGAGGGTGGGCTGGACCCGGTGACTCCATTCTAAAGAATAGTTTGGAAAGGGAAAACTAACTTCACAGCCAAGAGACCTGACTGACGCTGCCTTCCCCAAGTCATGGAGGTCAACTCGCCAGTAACAAGTTGTGGTGATAAGCTGTGATGAGAAGGGGACTTTGCTTCTGTGATATTTTTTCCAAACCTGCCTAACCCCACACTAATTGTGAAAACACATCAGATAAAACCAAACTGAGAGACGTTCTATGAAATGCTGACCAGGATTCTCTGGATTTGTCAAGGTCGTGAAAGACAAGGAAAGATCAATAAACTGTGGCAGACAGGAGGAGACTAAGGAGACACCACAACTGAACACAGTGAGGATCTTGGCTCAGATCCAGGGACACAGAAAGGACACCAGAGGAAAAACAATCAGAAGTGCGTGCTGAGCCAGCGCCAACCTCTTCATTTGATAACTGTGATCACTGCAGTCATGCGAGGTACTAACACGGAGGAGCCGAGTGAAGGGTACATGGGGACTCCACACGATCTCTGCAGCCCTCTTAAATCTAACAGTCCTTCTAAAGAAAACGTTAGGAAACAAAATCAGGCTCACATCTGTGAGTGCGCACATGCATGATGAGAGAGTGCACGACTCGTATTCAGGCAAGGGTACTGAGTGTATCATGTTTTATCTTTCCTGTGGGTTAAAATTTCCAAAACACAATCTAAAAATCTATTTCCCTATGGGTTGCAGAATTCAGGGAGAGAAAAGGCCTGGATCCACTCTCCTTAGACTGCACGGAGGGCTTCTGAGGCTGTGGAGTTTACTGGGACGCACGTGCAGGGCAGCCGGCCTGAGCAGAGGGGCCCTCGCCACCACACCATCAGCTTCGGAACCCGCATTCCATGCAGTGATGTCCTTAAAGTGTCTTTTTTACACCCCATTTAGAATTTTGACCAGCAGCTGACCAGCAACATTGTGAGAAACCCAGTGGCCATCTGCCAGCCAAGTGGCATCAGCAGCGTCCCCTTCCGGGTTTTCCAGCAGCGTCTGTACCATGACTCCCCACTTGACTGCAGTAGTTTTTAAACTATTCTCAGAACGAAGAAGCAGCCTCAAAGGAGAGGCTGGGTAGAAAGCGGCTCTCAACTTCCAAAATACACAGGTAGAGAGCCTAAGTAAATGGAAAGACATCCCATGTCAATGGACATTGGACAAGGCTTAACATTGTTAGGATGCAATACTCCCAAAACAGATGTATAGATTCAACATAATCCCTGTCAAAACTCCAGCTGGCTTCCTTGCAGATTCACAAGCTGATACTAATATTAAGATGGAAATGCAAAGGATCCAGAATAGTCAAAACAATCTTTCTTGAAAAAGAAGTACAGGGCCGGCCCCGTGGCTTAGCGGTTAGGTGCGTGCGCTCCGCTGCTGGCAGCCCGGGTTCGGATCCCGGGCGCGC